CCAGCGCCTCCGTGAACTTGTGCCGCCACACCACGTACGGCAGCAGCAGCGGGGCGCTCGTACCGCTCACTCCGCCGCCCGCCGCAACCGCAGCAAACCCTCCCCCCATGCCTCCTCCTCCCCCTCCCCCTCCGTTGCCCCCCGTGAAGCCCTCCTGCGCCAGCTGCAGGTGCAGCGGCAGCCCATGCAGCGGGCTCCCGGGAATACCACCCCCACCCCCACCCCCGCCACCCGCAGCAGCACCCGAGGGGCGGTTGCTGTAGTCGCCCAGCTTGCTGGTCATGTTGGCAAGCAGGGAAACAGGACCGTCGTACGGCACGCCACGTCGGCTCTGGTTGCCGTACTTGTCGTACATCTCCCCGCCTCCTGCCGCTGTTGCTCCTCCACTTGCCGCCAGCGCCAGTGCCGCGGCGGTCTCTCCCAGGTTGGATGTACGGCGGGCGAGGTGGTGTGCGCCGCGGGGGGGCGGGGGGCGGGGGGGAGGCAGCATGCGACCTAGGCCCTTGATGGCCCTGAGGGGAGGGGGGCGGGGGGGGGGGCAAAGAGGGGGGCGGGTTAGATGAACCGAACCACGAGGGGACCTCCACGCATACTCGCTGCTTCTACCATGCACCTCCTACACTCCCCCCTTCCCGGTTTTGCGCGTTCCCAGCGTGTTAAGAAAACTGGCCGCGAGTAGGAACGTACTGGGATGTCGGAAGATGAAGTCCCCACAGAACCTGCCTTAACAAGTCGGGCCATGGGATGGAGTTACCCCTTACCCCCCCAGTTTGCCACATTCAACACAATTGGTATTCTTCCCCCTCCCCCCGGTTGCTCCACCTCTCACGCATATCCTCCCCCCCCTCTCCCCCTCTCCCCCACTCACTCCTTCATGGCCTCCCTGTCCGCCACCAGCTCCTCCAGCTGCTGCCCCACCACCTCCCCCGGACCCCACCCCAGCCAGTCGCAGAAGCGCTCGTCAGCCGCAATCACCGCGCCGCTGCCCAGCACCCACACGCGGGCCTCGTCGGGGCTGGAGGGGACGCGCTGTTGGGGAGGGGGCGGGGGGAGGGGGAGGGGAGGAGATGGAGGGGTAGAAGAAGGGGGTAGGAGGGGAAGTTCAGTATAGTTCAGCTGTTGAGGTGAGCAGGAACCCAAGGGTGGGGTGGACCTCCACGCGTTTACTGCCTACCCTCCAAACCCCGTCTCTTTACTCTATACCCCTCCCCCACCCCCCCTCACCTCCAACACCCCCAGGAACACGCTGTCCTCGTTCAGCCCCGACACCTTGGTCACATGCATCTTGGCGGGCACCACGGAGCGGCTGCGCGTGATCACCACCACCTCCACGTGCCGGTTCAGCAGGTCGGTGTGGGCTGACAGGGGGGAGGGAGGGGTGGAGGGGGAGAGGGGAGGAGGGGGGGGAAAGGGGGGTTTGCAGGACAGGATTTCCATGAACTGAAAGACATCTGGGGAATCCACTTCTTGCGTGCTATGATACAGGTTTATATCGCAGCGCAGGTCACCCAACCCCCAACTCCCAACCCGGTTACCAATGGCTAGTTTCACCAGTCAGCGCATGAGTCGGGATTTGGGATTGGGACTCCGTTGCTGCAATAATCATTTTTATCATTTCCCCACTGCTCCCACCCCCCACCTGTTTGGATGTAGTTGCGCACGTATGCGGTGTGGCGCTCTCCGAAGGCAGCCGGCATGATGATTCCCACGTCCTGGGGGGGAGGAGGAGGAGGAAGGGGAGGAAGGGGAGGAAGGGGAGGAAGGGGAGGAAGGGGAGGAAGGGGAGGAAGGGTAAGGGGGCCAAGAGAGGAGGAAGAGAGAGGGAGGGGGGCTGGAATTACACGGGATGCTCGCACACGCGGTCGAGCCCCGCCAGGGCTCTTCAAAGGGTGCACCAACACACACCTGCATGATACCTCCCCCTCCCTCCGCCCTCCGCCGCCCCCCTCCCACCTTTCCCTTGAGTTCGTTCTTGCCGTACCCCAGCAGCGAGTGCGCCTCCTGACTGGCCACCTGGATGATGCCCTGCGCGTTGATGCAGATGAGCGCCACACCCTCCAGACCCGCCAGACCGACTGGGGGGAGGGGGGGAAAAATTAAATAAGTGAAACAACGAGTCCCAATCCCATATCCCGACTCAGGGGGGGGAGGGGAGGAAGAACGGGGGAGTGAATTGTGGTGGGAACACTAGGTAACAAGCTAGGGGTGGGGGCAGCAGAGGAGGATAGCAGGCAAGAGGGAGAGACCGTGTAGTTAATGTTACCTGCCCTTCCCTCCTCCCCCTCCTTGTCGCACGATTAGTCCTTCCTGTTTAACCCCCTCCGCCCTCACTCGTTCCCTCTTAGTTACTCCTCCCCAGCGTGTTCAATGCGTTTGCCCCCCTGCTTTCCCATAAGGTTCATTCCCCCCCCTTCCACCCTCCGGTAAGCAACGATTCGGTAAGTAATTTGAGATGCGTGTTATTAGTGCCTCCGAATGCGCTCACTGCATGAGTCGGGATATGGGATTGGGACTTAGTTGTTTGCATTTCTTATATAATTTTCCACCCTCCCCAGCTCGTCAGATTTCCTCTTTTTACCCTCCCCTTCCTCCCCCCCTCCCCTTCCTCCCCCCCCTCCCCTTCCTCCTCTTCCTCCCCTCCCTCCCGGCCTCCCCCCCTCCCCCGCCCCCCCCCCCCACCATGCTGCGGCAGTAGCGCCTCCACCCCGCCCAGCTGCAGCGCGTCCTTGGTGTGTTCCGCCTCCTCCTCCAGCCGGTCAGCCTCGCCGTACCACTTGGCAGCGGCCCACGGGTCGAACTTGACCGTCTCCAGGAACCTGCCGTACAGCCGCAGCAGCCGCGCGCTGTTGCCGTGGCGCGTGAGTACGAAGCGGTAGGCGCGCTCGGCGGCCTTGACGCTGACCTCGATCCTGTTCAGCGCCCGTGTGAGGTGGTTGAAGTCCACCCGGCTCCGCAGCAGCAGCCCCCAGAAGGCCCGCACGGCCAGCAGCGCCTCCCGGTGCGCCCGCACCACCAGTCGGTGGTTGCGCTGGAACTCCACGTAGCTCACCAGGTCCACCGCGCCGCCGCTGCCGTCAGCACCCCCCGCGCCGCCGCCCAGCCCGCCCGGCCCCTCGCCGCCGCCGCCGCCTGCGCCCGAGGCGGCTCCGGAGGCCTTCTGGGTGTGCTCCTGCTCGCGGGTGAAGATGGCGAAGCGCTCCAGGATGCCCGGGGACTGCTTCTTAGCGGTCTGGAGGGGGGAGAGGGTGGCAGGGGGCGAGGGGGCGAGGGAAGGGGGAAGAGAGTAATGAACCGTGAGGGTCAGGACGGAGGCTATTGCATGGGTAGCGGGGCAACAAGGAGAAGAAGAAACGGTGCTGTGGACGATGGCGGGGAGGGGCCGGGAGTGACGGGAAGGTGGAAAGCGGGAAAACGTTGCAAGGGGAGCGCGCCGGGTTAGGAAGGGACACTTGCGAGAAGGAAGGGTAGGAGGAGGGTGAACGGAGAAGGGTGCAATGCGTGTGCAAGGCGCCCTCGCGTCCTGCTCACTCAACCGGACATACCCCCTCCCCATGCAGCAACCCATGGTGGAGCCTCGTCCTACAGCTCGCCAGTCCCCACCCCCCACCTGCAGCTGTGTGTAGCCGGACTGGTAGCTGCCCTGCACGTCGATCAGGAAGGAGGAGTAGAGGATGATCATCTCTGCAGGGGAGGGCGGCGAGGGCGGGGTGGGGGGTGTAGGAGAGGGGTTTCGTTCACACATGTGAACCGTGACCTGGAGCCCAGCACCGCCCTCTGCAAACATGCGCCTCATGGAGAAGGAAATGCAGTCTTACCCCACAAGTACTGTACCCCACTCCACCCCCCACCCCCCAAGCCCCCCTTACGTGGGTCCTGCGGCCTCTGCATCATGCCCGCCTTGATGACCTGCTCGCTCAGCGCCACCGCGTCCGCCTCCAGCGTCTCCTCGTCCACCCAGTGCCGGCAGCAGCGGGCCGCGATCTCCACCTCGCGCGCGTCGCTGAAGCGGTAGATGGACTTGGAGGGCACACCCGACTCGGCGGACCTGGGGGAGGGGGGACGGGGGGGGTGGAGGAAAGAGAGGAGCAGGGATGAGCGAGCAGGCCGTGCCGGAATTACTCACCAACGCAACGAAGAGAGAAGAGAGGGTCACACAGCCGAGCTCACCACGCCATTGCTACCCCCAACCCACCCACCCTCAGTATCGCCGGGGGGCAGGTGCCAAGTTATTGCCAATCGCCGTGTGCCATACTACTTGTGTGCTCTACACCATTCGCTCTCCTCCTTCCCCAGGGTCACAAGCTCCTCCTCCCCCCACCCCCTCTCCCGCTCCCTCCCCTCCCCCCTACCTGAACTTGCCCAGCACATGGTGGCTGAAGTGCCGCAGCCGCAGGTGGCACAGCAGCGCGCCCACGCCCGCCGCCGGGCCCATGCCCGCCCACATCGCCCACGTCACGTAGCGCCGGAACTCCCCGCGCTGCGAGTCCGGCACGTCCGAGACGCCGAACGCCAGCACCACCAGGGCGGCGGAGCAGTAGGCGACGCAGGCGTAGGAGGCGCAGCGCACGTAGTTGAGCGCGGCGTAGGTGAAGGGAACCTGGGGGGGGAGGGGAAGGGGAGGGGAGGAGAAGGGCGACAAAGGAGGAGCAACGGGAGGCATTGGGAGGGTGGGTGGGTTGAGCAGCGAACAGCCGGGGGAACAGCGGTGCGAGTAAGCGTACGGGAGTCCGGAGGAGAGTGAAACGTCATTTTCCTTCCTCCTCCTCTTCTACCCACAATCCTCACGCACGCCACACATCAGCAGCCTACCCCACCCCCCACCCCGGACTCCCCTCCCCCACTCGTCAGTGTCTCCTTATATTTGTTATTCCCCCACTCTTTACTTCTCCCCGCACCTACGACAACGGAAGCACTCCTGTGCGGAGTATCCACCCTAGCACCAACACCTCCCCCCCACCCCTAACCCTAACACTCCCCCACCCACTCCCCCCCCCGCCGCACCCCCCCCCCGACCCCCACTCACCCACTTGACGTTGATGTAGGTGAGCGCCGCCAGACAGGTCACGTGCACCACCGCCAGCCAGCGCGGAGAGCTGCCCAGCAGCACCGAGGCAACCGTCAGCAGCGTCTTGAGGCCGAAGCCGGCGCCCTCCACGCGTGTGTGCGGGATGGACATGTAGTTGCGGGTGAGGGGGTTGAGCTGCATGGGGGGTTGGGGGGGGGGGAGGGGTGAGGGGGGTCAAAGACCATAGTAGGAGGTTGACATGTGTGGGGTTATTCGCGGGGCAGTAGGGTGTGGGGGGAGGGGCGACAGGGGGGGAGTTGGAAGGGAAAGGGTCCGTGAGGAAAGGGCTACACGTTGGGGGATATGAGCGCATGCCTGGAAAGACCCTAACCAAATGCAGGTGAGCGGTGCGGCGGACAGGTACTGCCAGCAGCACGGCAGTCCCCCCCCCCCGCGGGTGCACGGAGAGGGACAATGCGCCCCCACCCCACCCCACCCCACCCCACCCCACCCCACCCCACCCCACCCCACCCCACCCCACCCCACCCCACCCCACCCCACCCCACCCCACCCCACCCCACCCCACCCCCTTTCGCTCGGTTCCTTGGTTCCTCCCCTCCGCCCCCCACCCTATCCACCCCCCCCACCCGCACCTCCATCTCGCTGACCACCATGCTGGCCGCCATCACCACGAACAGCACGATGGAGGCCACCGACACCGCCACATGCACCACGTGGGGCATGGACCAACACACTGAGGGGGAGGGGGGGAGAGGGGGGGGGGGAATTATAAATAAATGCAACAGGTGACAAGTGAAGCACTGGCATCCAGGGAGGGGAGTGCAAGCAGGTGTAGGAAGGTGTAGGGGCTGCGCGGCTCTGCCTCCAGCAAACACGGCGGATTCTGCATAGACCCCCCCCCGCTGCAGTTGCGGACTGGTGCTGACGGCACTCCAGCCCCCAACTACCACCTCCTCTCCTACCCTCCACCCCCAACCTTACGGGGGTTATAACCCTTACGGACAGGTGTACGCAATCCTCCCAAAACATTACCACCCTCCCTCACCCCCCACCCCACCCCCACATGCACCCCACCCCCACCCCAGCACACGTTCCTACTCGCGGCCAGTTTTCTTAACACACTCACTTATGTGCGGGAACTCCCACATGCCCCCCTCCCCCCACCCCCCTCCCCCCACCCCCCACCCCCCACTCACTTATGTGCGGGAACTCCTGGTTGCGGTAGCGCTGGTCCGGCGGCACACCAAAGTAGTTGCAGTCCAGCGTCACCAGCAGCAGTGTCAGCGTGGCAATGTCCAGGATCTGGCAGGGGGATGGGGGGGTGGGGTGGGGGTGTGGGGGTAAAAAGAAGGAGGGGGGAGGATGACAATGCGGCAACTGGACTCCCAATTCCATATTCTGACACATGCAGTGAGCGCATACGGAAGGGTGGGGGGGGTAGTAGGGTGTGTAAACTTCGCGCTAGACTGGAAGAAAAGACTGCGTACCACCCCACCCCACCCCACCCCACGCAAGCCGTGTCATACAGCTTGCTACCAGTAGTTGCCTCGTCAGTTTCCTCATGTTTCATCCCCCACCCCCTCCCCCCCTCCCCCCCCCCCACCCATGCACCCTCCCGCCCACCTGGTAGAAGATGAGTCCGAACCAGCGCAGGAACTGGATGGGCCACACATACTCGAAGCGGTTGTTGGAGAAGGAGTGCGCCACCCACACGCTGAGGGCCAGGTTCAGCGCCAGCAGGCCCACCAGCACGTACAGTAGCGCCAGGAAGAAGGTGTAGCCCTAGGGAGGGGGGGGGAGGGGAGGGTAAAGAGGCCATGCAAAGGGAGGAAAAGGAAACGAAGTCTCCAACGCCCAGGGTCCAGAGGAGGCGGGTTAGAAGAGAAAGTCCAGAGGAGGCGGGTTAGAAGGTAAGGAAGAGGGTGTGAGATGGAGAGGAACATCAACAGCTGCGAACTGGAGGGCAGGTGAGGTGTATTAAAATAACTGGCCTACTGGTGAGGTGTATGTGTGTGACGAAGGGAAGCCGGCATGGGAGCGAGGGTCTTGCAAACACAAGAACGTGTCGCATGTCTTGTGTCGTACTGCACCGGATGCCGTACACATGCCGTAGCGTGTCGTACCCGGTCCGTGAGGAAGGCGTTGAGCTGGATGAAGGACACCACCTTCCACGCTCTGCGAGCGGCGGCGGCAGCGGAGGCAGGAGTTGTGTGTGTGTTGGGTATTAAAGGCACATCCACATCCACACCTACATCCACCGCACCCATTTCCCCTCCCCCCCCGTATTGGCACTTCCGGACTACCACCTTCACCCCACCCCGCACCCCCCACCTCACTTGTTGTTGGGGTCGATGTCCCAGCCATAGGCGGGGTTCACCACCAGCAGCCACAGCTGCAGGAAGTCCTGTGCGGGCAAGGGGGGGGGGGGTGCAGCGTCAGAGAGAACCGGTAGGCCAAACCACGTGAAACCAGAAGTTAGGGCAAAGACTAAAGAGCAATGGACAAGGAGGGAGGAGGTTACAAGGTAAGCAGCGGCCGGGACCTGGGTGACTAGGTCATTAATAGTGGTCCTGGCTAGGGCACGAGGACGATGGAGCTCGTGGGTGGCAGGAGCGCACCGCGTTGGACCCTTGGGTCTGCTATGACCCAAGGCTGGCAAAGACGGCACTTACCAGGAAGAAGCGGAAGAATGCGAACTTGACGCTGGTGAGCTGCTTTTCTTTAGAGACCGTGTAGAGCACCTGTAATCGCAGCGGCAACAGGAACAGGAGCCGCGACGGTTATGCGGCAGTGACAAACGAGAGAGGCTAAGTTAGGGTGGCAGCCCGACGCGCTGCAGCATAAACTTGTCGGCATCCTGCCTTATCCTGCAGGCACTAATGTTCATGTGCGCTTTGCCAAAGTCCTGGGGTTTGCGACTATAGTTCTCGTGGAACGCCGTACGGCCGCGCCAGCGCGTTTGCCGAAATCCAGTAGCCATAGAAGTTGCATGCCATTTGTAAGCCATTTGTAAGGGAGCTACAACATCTAAACGAGTAAAGATAGCGCGCCTCTACCGGTGTAACCGCCACGTGGAAAACGAAACGTCAACTTTTGCAGTACTCCAAGAACGGAGTCAACGCACTTAGACAAATGCGACATTCTATGGCAATTTCTCTCCAGCATAAAAGGCTTAAGGTTTCCATTTCCAACAGCTAGACTGAAGAAGAGCTCCAATTCTAGCGCAACCTCTGTATATTGACGTTTGGTTAGACCATCCAGGCCTCAACTTACCCCGAAAATGCCAAGCTGTACTGTATGAGGTTCGTCGAAGATGTTGTCATCGTCCCCCGGTTGTAATGCATTTGGCCTGCTCAGTTCATGTAGGGGGGATACATTATACATGTTTATCGATAGCAGTAATAACTTCAAGGCAACCAGCTGGAAGGAAAGCGTGTCGACATGGCGCCGGTTGGACCCCATAACGCCTTATACACTCGAGAACATAGCTTCATACCGTAAGACGGAAAACGATTACGGTAAACAACAAAAGTTAGGAGAACCCGGTGTTCCGCTCAGGAAGACATTGGTAGACCGCTTTTTTAACCCTTACACTTACCGAAGCCCTCCGGCAATGGAGCCTTCGACAGAGCTCCCATATGACGATACACTCGCGCTGCTCATCAGGCCGGAATCTTACACTATGATACTAGCTTTAAGAAAGTAACGGATTTAGGAGGGGGTTTGCAGTCTCACACGGTGCATACCCTACAAGCGCGTGTTGTTTATTGTGCCTAAAGTCAGAAGTGAAAAGGTCACGGTTGGTGGTGGTAAAGGCAGACCTTAATGTGTCGGCGCACGTCATCTATCCCCGTTGTTAAATCATTGTGAAGCAAAAGTAAGACCCCGTTAGACTATTGCGCAAGCGTTGTAAGGAAATGTGAAGCCTGACGCTGTGACGGGCCCACGGGCGCATGGCCGCATGCACAACCAGAAAATCCGGCGGTTGGACGACCAGATTGTCGGACCACTTACGGCATCTGGTTCAATCCCTATCTAAGAGATAACCACACCTGGATATTGCAACTAAACCTTCACAGAACTCATAGATAGTTTCCGCCATCCAGCGGGCTGACTTTCAGCACGGTCTTGCAGCATTCCGACCTGCAAAGGTACAGTGCGCTTAAACAAATGTTCTCTCTCGTTCATGATAACCATACCTTCGGCTTTCGGTGGTGTATGCCACACGGGTTGGATTGCGTAACTGCGGACCTGCGGTTCCTCCAGTATTACTTTTCCAGCACACGTAACCGAGGTCGGCTTTGTGACAACAGTATGTGGATGGGGTCATTAAGACTTCAAACAATGCTGCCGTCCTGTATATAAGGCCGCAACAACCAAACCAAACTGGCAACACCGAAAGCTGTTGCTGAAGCGTGAAAAGTTGGGCGCAGTCAATGTCTTGTAGCTGTAGGAGGTTTGGGTTGTGGTTCCGGCCTTTCCGCTGAAACATCACATCCCCAGTGGTTCCCCAAGTAACGGGCAATCGGCTTGCCACTGCCCGTCTCATTGCCCACACAAACATACGAGGCCCCAGGGAACATGGTAAGACACCCCGGTTACACACCCAAGGAAGTTCCCAAAGCTCTACCGGTGTGGCATGCAGGTTCTTGCACTGCGCGTCATGCTGGTCGTTGCGTACGTGTCAGCTATGCCGCTCACGCAGGCATGACACCCAGCGTCACGCGCTCACGCCCCATGCAGCAGCCAGCTGTGGTGGTGGCAAAAGTGAAGCCATGCTCGCCAGCTGGCACGTCGTCCTGCCAGCCGTATACCGGCGATTCAAGGAAGCAAGTCCGCCCGCCAAAGCACCCACCCGACAATGCGGCATACCTTGTACCGCCAGAACGCTAAACCCTCCTCCACAAGGTTGCTCTTGCCAGGCTTTGAGACCCGCCACCCATGCGCACGACTCAAAACACCAGAGCTAGTCGAGCCCGCTACCTGACCCGTTGCTCCTGTGTTGCTGTGTACTGGCAATCGGGCGATCGGACGGTAACTGCTCTGCGGCCGCCACCACGACCGACATCTAGGGAGCTTGTCGGGGTAGGGATGAAAAGGAGGAGCTGTCATGCCATGTTACCGGCTCGGTGGCGCTCCTGGACGCTTGAACGATAGCACACACACACAAAGCTGGACGTGATAGAAGAGGAGATGGTAGATTAACAAGTAGCTGCCGTTGACAAACACTGCTCCAATAGCTCCGGCTAGTGACCCGCCGATGCTGACACCGATGATCTGTAAGCTGATCTCCAACTGCTCCCTAACTATGCAATGGCTCCAAAGGCTATCAGGCGCGTTACTGCAATCCAGTGGTCGTTACAACAGCTCCTAAGGTCGTGGCAGGCTCTCTCTCGGCCTCCCGCCTTGGCTGAGTTTCCGCCTACGTAGTATTGCTAATAACTGCTACCGCTATAGGCCTTAGACGCGCACGCTATATCAGAAACACGTACATGCGGCGGCGTGTCCAGGAGCGTCGGCCCATGGCCGCGCTCCTCGCACCTAAGTCCCAGCTCACAATGCTGCATGGAAAACCCTCCCTGGAGAGATCACAAGTTCTAGACTCAGCGCCCTAACGCAACCAACTCAACAGCACTTGCCGAAATATACTCAGATAAACAGATCTGCTAATCTCCAGATAACAGAAAGGCACAAAGGCATCATCTGACCCAGGTGTCCCACGGATACGACAACAGTTCTACGGTGCCAACCTCGGGTCCACCGCAACGCATACTAACCGCTAACAGGCTTGACTAACATCCATGCTTCGGCTGCTCTGACCAACTGCTGACAGGATGCCCGCTACTGCCACAGCCCCATGGGTCTGCTGGCAGTAGTCCAACCCGCTGCCGGCAGAATAGCTGTGCCGGTAAACGGGAGTGACAGAGCCGCCTAGTGGTGTGAAGAAGAAAAGCCCGGGCATAAAAGAACAAAGCCCGGGTACAAAAAGACTAAGCCGGGGTAGGGAATGGGGCAAAGAAAAGTAAAAGAAGGAAGACGTAAGCACCCGAATCTCACCAGGGATGGAGGGTTAAGTGCAGGGTAGGGTGCAATGCAAGGCGAGGAAAGCGACTGAGGAGGAAGATGTACCGGAGGTGATGCAGGTTGAGGTGGAATGCCCGCAGCGGCTAGGGCTAGCGCTGGGTAAGGCCGTGGGCGATATGGGAGGCGATATAGGAGGGCGATATGTAATGTACTCAGACGCAAGAAGAGGCGACGCAACGCGAGGAAGCACAAATGCAGGATGCCAGTGGCACTGAGGGTGGGAGGGGGTACGGGTAGTCGAAAGGCGGCGGAGAAGATGTAAGAGTCGAGGCACATATTAGTAACAGACAAAAAGGAGGAAGGCTGTCACGCCATAGCATGTGCACCGTCATACTTTGTGATGCCAGCGGTTTTTGGCTTGTTAGTTGGGTGGATTTGGTCAGTTAAGATGCGGTTTTGTTTTGGATCTTTTTGCGGGACTGGTTCTACAGAGTTCTGTCGTATTGTTGTACCTTTGGCGGTAGATAAGAGTGCCGACAACGCATGTTGCGTTGTCTCCGTTGATCTCTAGGGTGTGACTTGAGACCAACACAGCAGACCCGTCCCAATGGGACGTTAAACTCAATGGGTTGTGCGACATGCGAGACGATGCCTTGTAACGGTGATCCTGCTAGCCTGACATCTAAGCGTGCCTTTAGCCCAGAGCACGGCACATACGTTTGGATAGGTAGCAGCTGTATCGGCAGCGACCTCTAGAGTTAGGCGCGCCATCGCCCGTGTCAGCTGGGGTAGATCATCATTGCCCGTCCTTCGCGCCATCGACAATTGCCTTTTTCGCCTACCAGTCGACGTCTACTACGCCAACACGTATGCTTTGCGTCCTTTTTGTGTGTTTATCTTTATCCATTCGTTCATCATCAACGGAGACAGTAAGGTGCGGAGCGATCCTCAGATGCGGCTGTAACCAGGGTACCCACACTTCGCATAGCCCTCCTTGCGCCTAGGCGGCTCCCGAGCTCCTTGGTCTACGGACCAAGCAGCCCCGGCCCCCACAGGCCCACACCGCCGCATGGCCATCTGCTCTTCGATTCCCCTGCGGCCGGGAGATCTGTGTGCGCGCTGCTCTTGTTTCTCCCAATCCGGCCAATGCCTTGCCTGTCGCGAAGTGTTTGTTGCCGTACCCGCGTCCGTTATTTGAATTGTTTGCCGCAGGGCATTCGTGTGTAACTGCAGCTAACGTGGCCAGGGTGGACTTGCGGCACAACGCCGCCATTTAGCATTCACCATAACATTCATAAGCTCATCAGCTGCAAGAGGGAGACAGAAACAACACCGATAGTAAGGGCGTCAGACCACGGACAGGGCAGCCGTGGGGATCGATTGTATTGTACCGGTGCGACCGTCCCTTGTCTTGAGGAGAGAGGGGTCGGGAAGGATAAGGAATGATGGCATGGGGGTGTGCATGCGAGGCGAGTAGGTATGAACTTAAGCGGTATGGAGGGAGCGTTGGCTCCAGGGCCATGTGACCAGGCTTGACCGTCGCATTCCTTCCTCTAAGCAGTCCGGGAGGCGGGGGACGCACGGTTTGGTGTTGCATGGCGTTGATGATGCCTGGATCGGTTTCCTGTGCCGACAAACAGGTGTACATACCGGCTCACGGCTTAGGTGCTTGGGACCGCGGCAATACAGCAGCTCAGCCACTCCTACTAGTCAAGCAGGTTCAGTTTCCAAGGGAGTAGGGGTTTCGTGCTGTGCAAATTCAGGAGCAGCCCTGAAATTCTCCATGCGACATGTTGCACGTAAGGAAGCGGGAGAGCGTGACGGTCAGGTCGACAGTGACCGGCAAGCGTAATTGTATGTGGGCATGGTGCACTAAGAGGAACGCAAGCAGCAAGGACTCGGGATGCGTTGCAGTTCATGTGAAGCGTATAACGGGGTATAAGCCCAGGTATCAATTCGTGAGTACTTGGACTACACGCAATTGAATTTGCCGAGGTCTTCTAAACCTCCTACTTTACCGGGCCAAACGTATGCCTGTATGCGGTTGCGACCACTGGAGGCCCTATGACCGTGATCTTGTGAGGGAGAAACAATCAAGTCCTCATAACGCATAATTCTGAAAATTCAACTTAGTAGGTACATAGGGAAATTGTACTCTACTTGCTGGGAACAATATGCAACTCAACGCATTGTCCAGGGGTGAGGCGCTCGCGCGCGGCAGCAGCGGGCGTCGCACCCCCATCGCAGCACAGCGTATCGGTGGGCGAACTCGCAAGGCAGTACATGTCTCAGCCAGCCTTCAGTCCGGTTTCCTGGGCCAGCGCGTGGCTGGGCGCATGGCAGTGCCCTCAGCCGCCCGTAGGGCTGGGCGCGCGGGACGCCTCGTCGTAAAGAGCATGTTTGAACGCTTTACCGAGAAGGCGATCAAGGTCGTCATGCTTGCCCAGGAGGAGGCCCGGCGGCTCGGCCACAACTTTGTGGGCACGGAGCAGCTGCTGCTAGGCCTCATCGGAGAGTCTACTGGTATCGCAGCAAAGGTCCTTAAGTCTTTGGGAGTTAATCTTAAGGACGCCCGTGTGGAAGTGGAGAAAATTATTGGTCGTGGGTCTGGATTCGTCGCGGTGGAGATCCCCTTCACGCCGCGGGCGAAGCGGGTGCTGGAAATGTCTTTGGAGGAGGCCCGTCAGCTTGGTAAGCTTACTATATGTCGTTTCAGCAATATCGCTTAGGTCCTGGCACACGTGGGGTGATGCCGTAAGGCATGGGGTTTAAATGACGTATGTTATACTGTGGGCGTCTTCTGAGTACCTCTGCTGCCCCATCACCCAAGTCCCTTCTTAGCAGTTGACAGGGGACGCTCTTCTGCTGCTCTTGCGCTGTGTTCGCTTTTGAGGGCAGTAGCTGATAGCCAATCATTTCACCCCACATGTCAGGCCACAACTACATTGGCACCGAGCACATCCTGCTTGGCCTGCTGCGCGAGGGCGAGGGTGTGGCGGCCCGCGTGCTGGAGACTCTGGGGGCGGACCCGGCCAAGATCCGCACCCAGGTAGGACCTCCCGCCCTGCCCTGGCCGGCAGCATTCAGCCCCCATCTTCCCTCCGTTTCATGCTTGCTTGTATCGGCTACGGCAGGGCATTTGCTCACGTTGTTATAGTTACAACTGCAGTCTGCATGATGTAGCTATACTTGGAGGGGCACTTCATGGCCGTGAATCCATGTGGGCTTGAGGCCTCCCAACCCGACCTAATCCTGACCTTCCCTGACCCCTTCCCTCCCCGTTTCCCTCTGCTCCCCCTGCCCCAGGTCATCCGCATGGTCGGTGAGAGCCAGGAGCCGGTGGGTGCCGGCGTGGGCGGCAGCCAGGCGCAGGGCTCGAACAAGACCCCCACGCTGCAGGAGTACGGCACTAACCTCACGCAGCAGGCGGCGGAGGTGAGGGGAGAGGGAGGGATGAAGAAATGACAAGTGAAGCACAGTCTCATGGGGAGGGAGGGGGAAGCGGGAGGGGCTGATGGAAAAGCCATCGGTTAGAGGGCAGGATGCGGGGCCGGATGTGACTTACGGGGACTGTGTACACGGCGGTGGATGTGACTGGATGTGTAGAGGTTCTTGGCAAGAACTGCAGAAGGAATGAATGCAAAAGGTTGGGGTGGGATGGGTGCTGCTGCAGGGAGAGGTCGATATGGGTCGGGCGCAATCGGACCGGGTTATCCTGTGCACGTGGGTAGGAGGTGGAGATTTGCTACGGCACTTGCTGGGGGGAACATGGCAGTGTTGAAGAGCACTTTAGGGCGATACCTTGAATGCACGGCAGCCCAGATGTAGGAAACGGGCGACAGGAGAAGATGAATAATAAACCAGCGAACTATTGAAAACGTTAGCCTTCACTTCCTAACCTCGCCGCAACTGGCGTAACGCATGTAGCAGTGTGTGTCGCATGTTTCCTCCCGCGCCCCACGCCATCTCACCTTCCCCCGTCCCCCTCTCCCCCCTCCGCACTGTCGCCTCTCCCCCCAGGGCAAGCTGGACCCGGTGGTGGGCCGCAAGAAGCAGATTGAGCGTGTGATCCAGATCCTGGGTCGCCGTACCAAGAACAACCCCTGCCTCATCGGAGAGCCCGGTGTGGGTAAGACGGCGGTGGCGGAGGGCCTGGCGCTGAAGCTCGCCACGGGAGACGTGCCCGAGACCATTGAGGGCAAGCAGGTGAGGACAGGGGGAGGGGCATGCGCGGGGATCGGGTGGGTGATGCGGTTGAGCGGTCGTGAAAATGGTATGCCTCGTTGGACGCCCCCCTGCTCCTCACATCCCGGCCCCCTGCTCCTCGCATCCCGCCCACCTCATGCTCCCCCTCCCTCCCCGCTCTCCCCTTCCCCCCACTGCCAGGTTGTCACCCTGGACATGGGCCTGCTGGTGGCGGGCACCAAGTACCGCGGAGAGTTCGAGGAGCGGCTGAAGAAGCTGATGGACGAGATCAAGCAGAACGACGACATCATCCTGGTAGGGGGCTGAGGAGGGAGGGGCGGAGGGGAGGGGCAAAGAGGAAACCACTAACTGACTGAGGGGCGAGTGGTGCTGGAAAGGGGACTCTATGGGAAGGGGCAGCAGGGAAGGGTGAGGGATAATGCGGGAATGGGAAAGAGAGAGGGCAATGGGGCGAAGCAGAGCAGGAGGGGGGACGTCGGGGTCACCTCGGCGTGAGCGTTTACCCCATGCGGCGTGTCTTGGCCGGAAGTCACGCATGCGACCCTCCTATTAGCAGCGTCAGGGGGTAAGAACCGTGTTCATAGCGCAGTCGTGGAACGTTACAGTTACAGTCATCGCTACGAAGGGCGCAGCGGCGGAGGCGCCTAGAGGCCCCAGCAGCAGCACCAGCTGCAGCGGTATCACTGACACCAGCAGCGCCAGCAGCTGCCCTTGTTTGTTTCTTGAGCAGCACCAGCGGAGCACAGCTGGCCTGGCGCCCCCGGCAGCGGCTGCGGAGGCCCCTCGCCTCGCCTCTCTTCAGCTCAGTCAGCGGTGCGCAGCGGCGGGGTCGCTGGGGCAGTGGTCGCGCGGCCAGCATGCCCGACTGTGGAGCAGCTCTTTGGCGGGCCGGCATGCTGGCTGTCTGGGGGCTCAGCACGCAACAGACCCAGCACTGCGGCAGCAGTTGGCATCATTGGAAGCTGCAGTGGGCGGGCCAGCAGCAGCATCAGCATGGGCGACAGAGGTCGAATGGCAGTGGCGGCCGCTCCACCACCGCTGCAGTGGGCCCACATTCCTGCCGGGTATACCCGAGGAGGCGGCTGGCGCCGGTGTCCTCCACAGCGGTTGCTGCAGCAGTAGCGAGCTAGCGGTGCCGCAAGGCAGCAACAGAAACGGCAGCAACAGCATCCCTAGCCCGGCTCCCTGTCATGCAGCGCTGCACAGGCTGCCTCCTCCTCCTAACCCAGTCCGCTCCCTACCTTTCATGCCCCCCCTCCCCCCGCCTCTCCCCATCTCCTCCCCAGTCCACTGCGGTCCACCGCCCAACCCTACACGCACACTACCCCTCAACCTCCCTCCGTATGCAAACCTCCCAACCCCACTCACCCCTCCCTACACCCGCTCCCCCTCCAGATGATTGACGAGGTGCACACGCTGATCGGCGCGGGTGCGGCGGAGGGCGCCATCGACGCCGCCAACATCCTGAAGCCCGCGCTGGCCCGCGGTGAGCTGCAGTGCATCGGCGCCACCACGCTGGACGAGTACCGCAAGCACATCGAGAAGGACCCCGCGCTGGAGCGGTGAGAGTCAATTACTGGACCGGGTCGCTTTGTAGCCAGCAGCTGTGGCACCTACCCGTTCGGGGTTTCTACCTGCCTCTTTGCCTGTCGCACATCGTGAACTCGCGAACCCCCCTCCTTTACCCACCTCTCTCCCCACATCGGGAATTTTCCCTCCCTCATCATTCGGTTGCCGGGGTATAGCTTCCTGCACACGCATGTTCTTTGATCCGCCCTTGCGCTGTGGGTAGGGTTCGGGAGTGTGCCGCAGAATGCCTGGTTCTGTCTGCCCCTTACCTTGCCCCTCCCTGTGCGGGCACTCGCTCGCGGGCAGCCAAACGTTCGGGACGGGGACATCGCAGCGGGCGGCAGCGGACGTCCGCTGCCGCCCGCTGCGATGTCCCCCGTCGCGGACGTTTGGCTGCCCGCGAGCGAGTGCCCATGGCCGCACCTGCACTCTTGTCTTGCACCTTCTCCGTTCATGTCCTCGTCATTCCTCCTCGTTTCCCCCATCGCACACTGTCATTCTACCCGCATCTCCCAGTATCCTTTGCCTTCCTACTCACTCGCATGCACTTCCCCTTCCCCGAACCCGCTTCAATTTCATCACACCTCATTCAATCATTCTACCCAGTTACGCACATGTGCCTGTCCTTCCTACCGACCCGCATTTGCTGTTGCCCACCTTGTGTACTACTGCTGCCCCGGCCACGGTTAGATTCCTAGATTCGATAAATCCAAACTCGACAAATTGAACAGGGCTGGTTGGGCCGGCTGCCATGTTTGCACCCCATAGTGAAAAGCCCTGCCATCCAGCTCGTCAGTTTCTTCCCTTCTACCTCCTTTACCACTTGCCATTATCCTACTACACATCGGGCCTTCTTGCCTTCCCCCTCCCCTCCCCTCCCGCACCACAGCCGCTTCCAGCCCGTCACGGTGCCCGAGCCCACCATCGAGGAGACGTTTGAGATCCTGCAGGGCCTGCGCGAGCGCTACGAGACGCACCACAAGCTGCGCTACACGGACGAGGCGCTCATGGCGGCAGCCAAGTTCAGCAGCCAGTACATCAGCGACCGCTTCCTGCCCGACAAGGTGGGGGGGGGGGTTGAGGGGGAGGGGGGGAGGGGGGCGGAGAAAAGAGGGCAACAAACCGTTAAGCAGCGGAGGAGAGGGGAGGGGGTGTTTCTGCCTTGTGGGTGCAATGCACACGGACTGGACGTGCGTAGGCAAGCGCAGTGCGGAGGGATACGTATGCGGATTGCACGGCGCAGAGACGCGGAAGGGAACATGTGTCGCCCCTCCTGTGTCACTCAGCTGCCAGCCCACCTCGAGGGTTCCGTCGTTACGGTACCTTGCGCGCCAGCACGTGTCATCTGCCTACACCAAACCCCTCCTCCCCCCCACCTCCCTCCCCCCCACCCCCTCCAGGCTATCGACCTGATCGACGAGGCCGGCTCCCGCGTGCGCCTCCGCCACATCCAGCTGCCCGAGGAGGCTCGCGACCTGGACAAGGAGCTGCGCCAGGTGACCAAGGACAAGGACGCGGCGGTCAGGTGAGCAGCTTGAGAGGGAGCGGAGGAGCGGAGGGGGAAAATGAAATAAGTGAAACAACGAGTCCCAATCCCATATCCCGACTCATGGGAGGGTGAGGAAGAGCAGGAGATACCATACCACTGAGTGATGTCGGCGACGAAAGCTTCGTGGAGGGGAGACTGGAGGCAGAGGGAGGGGGAGGGGGAGGAGCGCGCCGCTTTAAGGGGCTGGCGGCTCGGGAGGGGTGCTGGGGGGGCCGTGTGGAAGGCCCTGTTGCCCCCCATTTCAAACTTGTCGTCTACCGCGTAAGCACACCCTTCACGTGTTCCGTAGCCTGACCCGCCTGTGTGCCGGGGTGCCACCGCAGGGGTCAGGACTTCGAGAAGGCGGGTCAGCTGCGCGACCGCGAGATGGAGCTCAAGGTGGGTTTGGGGGGAGGAATAGCGCGGAGGGGGGAGGTGGAGGGCAGCGGGATGGGAGAGAGGAGAGCCTGGGATGGGAGTAAGCAGGGGAGGAGGAGGGGAGGGGAGGAGCATGGCGGGGCCGGGGGACGTCCGGGTTGATCTGGTCCTGCGGCAAAGGGAGAGGTGGGCGCAAAACCCTCTCGGAGTTCTGCCGGCGGCGTGTCTACCGGAACCCAGCCAGGGGCCATGAGGTGCTGCGGCAAGGAAACTCCTCTTCTGACCCCGCCGTACTGCACGCGTGATTGCGGTCCTGGGTGCCCCGCAGTACGGAGCTGTCGCGTTAGCCGCACGGCCATACCGCCGATGGTGGGGGTCGGGTTCTCCCCAGGACCCGCACCCCTACCCACCTCCCAGTGCTTCACTTATACCGTGTCACTCCTCTCCCTCCTTGTTAACCCTCTCCTCCTCCCGCCCCCCCTCCCGCAGGCCAAGATCCAGGCCATCATCGCTGGCGCCAAGGAGGCCTCCAAGGCGGAGGCGGAGAGCGTGGAGGGAGGCGGCCCCATGGTGGGTGGGGGGGGGGTAGGGAGGAAGGAACTAACCAACCGTGTGGAGGGAGGAAGGCGAGCATGGAGGGTTGGGTAGGGCTTGAGGAGCGGAGCAGGGTTACCCGGGGCCCATGCAGCTGCTCTCAGGAGGGCGCATGCAGTGCTAGGGGGGTCTCTTCGTTGCCAAAAGGGGGCTCGCTGGCACAGTGAAGGCGGCAATCCTCGACACTTACTGTACACCCCCCCCCTCCCCCCGCCTCCCCAGGTGACGGAGAGCGACATCGCGTCCATCGTGGCGCAGTGGACCGGCATCCCCATTGAGAAGGTGAGGGGCGGGGCCAGGTGTGGATGGTTGTGTGGGGGGGAAGCAGTCGAAGAGGAGGCGAGAGGGATCTGGTGGAGGGCCACACGTACACGACAGGACGGCATGCAGCTCGGCCACATGCCACGTTTCTATGACGGCCGATATACCTACTTGCTACTTCTACCCCTCCATGCCGCCAAGTAACATTCCTTGCTATACCAAACCTCGCCAACTTCGTCACCATCCTCACACATCCTTTTATTTCCACCCTTATATTGCCTTGCCCTCACAAGTGGAACGATTCGATTCCTTTCTGACACCCTCTTCCTCTTCCACCTCCTCTTCCCCCTCCCCCCGCACTCACTGCATGAGTCAGGATATGGGATTGGGACTTTAGTTGTTTGCATTTCTTATATAATTTTTCTCCCCCCGCAGGTTTCCTCGGACGAGACCGAGCGGCTGATCAAGATGGAGGAGGTGCTGCACGGCCGCGTGATCGGGCAGGAGGAGGCGGTGTCCGCCATCAGCCGCGCCATCCGCCGCGCGCGCGTGGGCCTGAAGAACCCCAACCGCCCCATCGCCTCCTTCATCTTCGCCGGCCCCACGGGTGTGGGCAAGTCGGAGCTGGCCAAGACACTGGCCAACTACTACTTTGGCAGCGAGGAGGCCATGGTGCGGCTGGACATGAGTGAGTTCATGGAGCGACACACCGTGTCCAAGCTCATCGGCTCGCCGCCCGGCTACGTGGGCTACCAGGAGGGCGGGCAGCTGACGGAGGCGGTGCGGCGGCGGCCGTACACGGTGGTGCTGTTCGATGAGATCGAGAAGGCGCACCCCGATGTGTTCAACATGATGCTTCAGGTGGGGGGGTGGGGTTAGGGGGGGCCGGGAGGAGGGGTGGGGGGACTGGGGTGTCGGTGCGGAGGGCGAGAAACTTGGTAGGGTGTGGGGGAGGAAAGGGTTAAACGGCGGCGATAATGTCAAGCAGTGCATGACCACAACAGAAGGCCTTCTGCACTCGTGCATACCTGCGACCTTGCTACCCGAGCTACCGGTAGGTCCACATTGTTCCAGCTTTTACTTCACTGCGCCTCCTCGTATTGCCTTGTCCTTATGCCTTCATTCCCCCCCTCCCTCCCCCCTTCCTACCCTATGCAGATTCTTGAGGACGGCCGCCTGACCGACTCCAAGGGCCGCACCGTGGACTTCAAGAACACGCTCATCATCATGACATCCAACGTGGGCGCATCCGTCATCGAGAAGGGCGGCCGCTCCATGGGCTTCTTCCTGCGCCCGGACGACGAGGACGCGGAGCAGGTGGGAGAGGCGGGTGGCGGGTTGCCCAGGGAAGGGCTGGAGTCGTTGAGGGGAAGGGGCTGGTGGCGAGGAGCCCGCATGGGGCAGGGTGGCGAGAAGGATTGTGGCCTACACTGGCGCTGTCACCCCCTGACGCATGTGTGTTTCCTAACTCCCTCCCCTCTCCTCTCCTCTCCCCTCCCCCCTCCTCCTCCCAGGACATGTCGTACAACCGCATCAAGACGCTGGTGAACGAGGAGCTCAAGTCGTACTTCCGGCCCGAGTTCCTGAACCGCCTGGACGAGATCATCGTGTTCCGGCAGCTCACCAAGAAGGAGGTCAAGCAGATCGCCGATATCTTCCTGCGCGACGTGTTCAAGCGCGCGGAGGAGAAGGGCATCAAGATCGAGGTGACCGAGAAGTTCAAGGACAGGTGCGAAGGAAGCCAAGGGAGGGTGGGAGGGCACGAGCGAATGCACAAAGTACACAAGTTCTGGTTTAGAAAGCTGCTTCACATTTACCGTTGCGCGCGTGCAACCTAGTGCCTTCCTTGCTTCACCCCCCTCCGCCCTCTCCGACTAACTCGGTTCCATTCACCGGGAGCTCGTCGGCTTGTTTGCCAGCCTCATTCACCACATTGGGTATCCTTCTTTTCCCCTGCAGGCTGGTGGACGAGGGCTTCAACCCCACCTACGGCGCCCGCCCGCTGCGCCGCGCCATCATGCGCCTCATCGAGGACTGCCTGGCGGAGCGCATCCTGATGGGGGACATCAAGGAGGGCGACGTGGTCATCATGGACGTGGACCCAGACGGCTCCATCGCGGTGCTGGCGGGCGACAAGAAGATGCGCGCGGAGATCGACGCAGTGCCCGCAGGCATTGCGTAAGGAGGGGGCTGGGGGCTCGGGCTCGCTGGTGGTGGGGAGGAGGAGGGGTGCGGGCGCGAGACGTCGCGTGAAGGCCCGAGATGCCCGAGCTCTGCGCGTGCAGCTGGGTGTTGCATGCACGGGCAGGCTTGGGCGGGTTAGATGAAGCTGCAAGTGTTCGCGCGTGGTGTTGTGTTGGTGGCGACAGAGGTGGTATGCTTTGCAGTGTCTGGGGTAGAAGGTTTATATTGGACCAGGGTTTAGGGGGAAGTGCAGGGCATATAGAATGCTAGTATGACCGCTGTTTCGGTGGTGTTGGTGCAGCTGGCGGCGGCTTCAGCCTCCTAGGTATGCTCTTCAGGTTACTGACCTACGTGACGCGTGTGTTGCACGTTTGTAGCGACCTTGTTAACTCCAGGCTGCCCGATGGTGCGAAGGGGAGGCGGGTAGACAGCCGATCGACTGTGTGCGATTATTTGGCCCGCTCGGGTTGCGTGTCCACGCCCTGGGAGACAGCTGGCAAAGAATGGTAAGGATGGGCTTTGGCCAGATGGGCGTGGGGCAGTGGTATATCGCACAGTGGGAGGTGTTGGTGCCGGTAGATAGGACGGCCGAGAAAGGAATTTTGCTGTTTTGGTAGGCAAGAGGGTAAGGAGGGCTTCAGCGCTGTGTCCCATATTGGTTGTTGGCTGTATCCAGCAGCCTAGACAACGGCCTGTTGCTGTCCTATCTGCTATTTACGTCCCAAGTTCCGGTATGTTGGGAGAGTTGCTTAGCGCTTGCTCCTTCCGTTGTACATCCATGAGTGTGCCGTTAGAGACATGCAGTTAAGACATGAGCGGGTTGACTGCGAAGTCAGATGGTGGGGGTGCAAACGGGCCCCGTAACTTGGCCTTGTTTGTTTAGGACTTGGCAAGGACTGTGTGTGGTGTGCTCTGGGGCTTAGGTGCCTGTGGAGTCCTAGCCTCCCGCTAGGCAATGAGGCCTGTTTCCACCCGTCCTGGCCTCTGTACCCTTAGACCGTACTTGCACGGAGAGCCGTGAATGATTGTCACGGCCCCGAGGGGCTGTGCCTGCTTGCATAGTGTTAAGTGCGATTGTGTAAAGCGCATCAAATACGTGCAGAACCAATGCGGCTAAATGCTTGGTGCCACCGTGCCTCTGCATGTGTCCTTGGATAGAAGAACCTCCCTAGGGCATTTACAGTACTTGCATGCACATCGGACGACGCAAGTACGATCCGCAGACGAGTCACGGAAGTCCGAAATGTATCACGCAGGAAAAAGCTACTTACTGCATCTCCCCCTAGGCAGCGTGCTGGAGCATGTGCCTGCTTAGCACGCTATGCAATCGGCTCCGCACTGTTCGGTATCGCCCAACCAGCGGAGGGCAACTACCCTAGGTCACTTGAGGGAAACTCGTAAACCGCGAGCAACGTCCCGCCTCCTGGTTTGCTGCGGTACAGATTATTAGGCACATGGGGCAGTGGGTGGAATTGCGAGTGCCTTGCCACCACCAGCCCCAATCCTGCGGTGGATTTCCCCCGCACGGACCCCCAGCTGGCTGATCACCCCGTGCAGCATCCCAGGCAGCCTCGCCGGCACCATGCGGCACCACCATGTAGCTTGCAAGCGGGTTACTCTTGGCCACATGAGCTTTGCCACTTGCCACGAGTGACACCGTCCGCGCACGCGCATACCCGCACATTTGATGCGAAACAGATCACAGTCACAACCCCTCATACAGAAATCAAGGCTCGAGAGGAAAGTTTTCGGTTGGCCATGTTGCGATGTTGGGGTGGGGGGCCGTGGGGCTTTCGACGTCGTAAAGACGGGGCGACCCTGCCGTACATACCGCAACACCCAAGCCATTGAACAAAATGCGAAGAATAGTGTCAACGTTGAGCTGGGCTTACACCTGCTAAGCGGAACGAAACCGAAGGCTAGGTAGGATTGGAATTAGGTGATGCAACCGACAACCTGCTCGGCCTACGTCTACGTGTTGCCTCTTCCCAGTCTTTCCAGGTGTCAGCGAAGCAGTTTGTACAATACATTATAATTTTAACTTGCAGCATTTATAGATTTGTATACAGTTCGGCCTTCTTCAACCAGATCTTGGAGCCCGAGGCCTAAGCCCTTATTTTCCTTTAGTTCTAACTATGGCTTCAGTTGCTTCATATCAATTGGGGAGTGCAGCTAGCAAAGTATACGCGGAAGCTGCGGGCGAGCAAAAGGCGCATGCGAACTGGAGCCCGTGAGTCCCCAACAATCCCTCGAGTTGCGCCTTGGGGTGCTTTCTAACTTACAACCTTTGTTGCGTCTACCTTTATTGCAGATATGACGACAACGGAGGGTGGGAGCCCTTTCGTCCCCAGATCCTGTATTACTTTGTGAGCAGTGCAGTTGTTAGGGCCCCAACATTCCATTTCAATTTTACAGGACTGTGGTGGCAGTAGCTGGAGAGGACTACTGCATTGTCGCAGCAAGCACACGGTTGTCAACTGGCTTTAGCATCCTTAGTCGGCAGGCCAGCATGCTTTTGGAGCTGTGAGTTGGGAACGGTGAACATGCATGTCCACGGGCTGATCACTACCCATGGTTGCTTGCCTAGGCCGCTGCTTCCATGTTCAGGGTGTTGGCGGGGTGCGCTGCCTTGGGCACAGCGACAGGGCGGGGAGGGGTGCGGTACCTGGGGCTTGCCGCTGCTGCGTCGGAGCCGTTCATGGGGGCAGAACCCCCGCCTGTCACTCCCTGATGCCGCCCCTGGCCCCCCCCCCCTCTCCCCCTCCTCTTCATTCCCCTCTCTTCCCTTCTCCCCCCTCTCCCCCCCCCCCCGCCCCAGCACGGACCGTGTGGTGGTGGCCTCTGCGGGCATGCAGGCGGACCGCAAGGCGCTGCACAAGCTGCTGCAGGTGGGGGGGGGGAGCAGAGGGGGAGGCAGGGGGGGAGGCAGTAGGGGGGGTCGGGAGGGTGCCACATTACAAAGTGAGGGTTTGCGGTCCCTACCGATACCGGGTCAGCGGCGGTGGGGCAGGTGGTGGTTGTAGGCTGGGGAGGTAGAAGGTGCTACAGAGGAACCATAGCTGGGGAAGGAAAAGCGATAGTAGACGTGAAGGACCATTGGGGGGGAGGGTGGGGAGGGGTGCGGAGGTGGTTGAGGAGGCCACTCTCGGTGAAGGTAGGGAGGATGGGAGGGGTCTTGCAGCAGGAATTGCGTGGCCACTGGTTACCAGGTGAGTTGGAGGCTGTAGGTGAGCTTGTCGGGTCGGCTCTGGTTGGTGGGGTGGGCAGCAGGGCGCGGGGGCAGTAGAGAGACTATACCGGTATGTGAGCTCCACCGGCGGTATGGGTGGCGGAGCTAGCGGGGCACCCCCCGGGACCTGGCACCTGGCTCGGACACGGGAGGGCGCTGACCGGCGATGTGGGCTCCCCTCTCCCAGAGGCCATCAGGGTTGCTTCATACCCCGCACCAGCCCACATCGCGCTCCTAGCTTCTCAGCTCCTCCCTCCCCCCCTCAAATGCGCTCACTGCATGGGTCGGGATTCGGGATTGGGACTCCGTTTATGCAATTATCCATATTTCTCTCCTCCCCTCCTCCTCCCCCCTTCCCTCCCCCCTCTGCCCTCCCAGCACCGCAACGTGATGTACACCCACAACCACGGGCGCCCCATGTCGGTGTCCGCCGCCGCGCAGCTGCTGTCCAACACGCTCTACCTGAAGCGCTTCTTCCCCTTCTACACCTTCAACCTGGTGGCGGGGCTGGATGAGGAGGGTGAGGGGGGGGCGGGGCGGGGGGGGGCCGAGGTTAGCGTAGAGGCTAGGGGAGAGGAAGGCGGCTTTGCGTCGCGGTTAAGGGCTGAAGGGGAGCGGGAAACGAGTAGCAGCGAATGTCAGGGGCGTGAAATGATGAGAGGGGCTGGCTTGCGGCGCTCAAGGTGCCTCAAGGTGGCGGGAACGTGTGTGTTGGGCAACAGAGGCAGGGGTATTGTAGAGAGGTTGCTTGCGCTGGTGTTTGCCCTGGTTCTTGCGCTGGTAACCCTTCCCCGGTGCCCGCTCCCCTCTTTCTAAGAAGTCTCCCCGCTCCCTCCCCCCCTCCTCCGCCCCAGGTCGCGGCGCGGTGTACAACTACGACGCCATCGGCTCCTACGAGCGCAGCGGCTACTTCTGCCAGGGCAGCGGCAAGGAGCTCATCCAGCCGGTGCTGGACAACCAGCTGCGGGCCGCCTCGCCGCTGCTGCTGCCGCCGCGCAGCACCATCACCGCACTGCCGCTGGAGCAGGTGGGGGGGATGGAGGGAGGGGGGGAATTAAGGAAAACTGACGAACTGTATGACGAGGGGAAGGGGAGATAAGGGAGAGGGAGGGGCTAGGAGGGAGGGGGGGTGACGTGTCACTATCGGATGGGGATGTGAGGCAGGGCGGCGGATGAGGAAGACAAAACAAGGGTGTTGTTGGAGAGGAAGGTTCTTGCGAGGGGAGCGTGTCGTCGCTACGAGAGTCAAGCTCTGATGCTCTTCCCCTGTCCCTGAATTCCTAAACTTGACCTCCCTCTTTCCACCGCCCCCACCTCCCCTCCCCACCCCGCACCATTCACCACCCAAAGGCCCTGGACCTGGTGAAGGACGCGTTCGTGTCGGCCGGCGAGCGAGACATCTACACGGTGAGTGGGGTGGTGGGGGTGGCAGGGATGACCCATGGGTCGCGCTGGCGGCCGCATTTCGAGTGTGTTGCATCCCGCTGCGTGTCGCTTCCGTTGCCTGTCGGTACATCTTTACACGCACGGGTGTGCTGCATGAGCACCATGACAACACATGTGCCACGCAGGCGTGTCATCGGTGATCTCACCTTACATGCCTCCTGCTCTTCCCCCTCCCCCCTTCCCCCTCCCCCCTCCCTCCCCCCCAGGGTGACAAGGTGGAGATCCTGATCATCACCAAGGCCGGCATCCAGCGTGACGAGCTGCAGCTCAAGCTGGACTAGAGGCTGGGCAGGGGGGGGGGGCCGGGCAGGGGGATAGCGGGGAGGGGCAGAGGCAGGGGGAAGGGAGTCGGAAGGGGGGGAGGGCGGCACCCCCACTTGTGGGTGTGCGTGTGCGTCGCCCCTACTACGGCAAGGGGTCCTGTATGCAGTGTGCGAGTCGCTTGAGGGTAGTTGGTCGGCGTGTTGCGTTGTTGACTGCATGGAGGTGGGCACATGTACATTGGCCCGGTGCTTGGGGCGAATGGATAGGGAGGCGAAGGGAGGTTGCTTACGTGTGGTTACATGTTGCCATAACACACGTTCGACACGCCACAGTCGAAAAGCAGGTGTAACCCGGTGTACCGGTGTGTCAAGTCATAAGTCAGGGAGCCATGTCCCGAAGCATGCTTTCCACCGCAGTTGCCCAGCACTGGTAGGAAGCCCCTTGCGCCCGCCACCCAGCTACGGCACACATGTCACATGTGCGAGCTGGAAGGACAACCTCTCACATGTTCAGGCAACCACACCACGTCATTGAAAGTTAAAACGGAGCGCTCCTGAGCTCATCACTGTGACGGGTGTGAATGAAGCGGGCTGACCGGGGCAGCAGCAGCAGCGCTGGTTGCGACCCATGGGTCCAATTCGGCCTTTGGTTGCTTCGCGGCCCGGACAAAATCTGCTTCTACTGTTGCTGCTCCCGTGCGATGTGCTTGCTGCGGTTGGATCCTATTGTGGCATCATCCGTGTCATTATGCTCACTGTTTTTGAGAGCACAGCTGCTCGTTTGAAGCAGGTTACGGCATATACCGATACTATGGCGTCACCGGATGACGTCCGAGCTGAACAGCTGAAAAGCGTTGGCATAGGCAAATCCTGTGTTACAACACTACCCTTTTCAGCTTTACATCCACCATTTGTCACTACAGTACTATACTTATAAGCCAATCAGTGCAGCAGCAGTCCTTCGCCCCCAGCTGCTTTCCAGCTGCTTGCTGCTCCTCAGGGCCGCTTGCCTCACCCAGGATGGCTGCAGCGGGTCGTCCCCCTCTGCCCGACCTGCTGCAGCGGGTGTTCGATAGCGGCACTCTTGATGCCTTCTATGCCACGTTAGGCGAGGACAGGGAGATGGGCCGTGCGCGCCTCATTTGCCGCAAAATGCGCGATCTCATGGATGGTGGCGTTGAGAAACTACAGCTGGTTGCATCCAAGGATGTGCTGAACCGAGAGAGCGGGTTTGTGCTGCCTCTGGCTCGCTGGCCGAACTGCCGCAGCATCGTCCTGCTCTCCAACGTGGAGGAGGATGCCTCGGAGGACGTCACGTGCTATTTCACGGCCCCCTTAGCGGGCGTATCCTCGCAAGTTACGCAGCACGTCAGCAAGTTTTCAATCAGGGACAATAAAGGAAAGCCTGTAAGCGCACGTTGCATGGTTGGCTTGCTGGCGTCGAAGCTGGTGGCGTCGTTTCCCCTCCTGCGCAAGTTGAACCTATCGGAGTTCACGCTGGCTGCGACCTGCGCCGACATGGTACAGCACCAGCAGATGTTTAAGGAGCTTGCGACGCTTCGGTACTTGGAGGAGCTGCGGCTGCCGTGCAGCCCTGGGCTCAAGTTCCTGACTACAATGGCGGTTCACTCCAGCAACCTTACCCGCCTGTGGATTATTTGTAAGCCCGAGTATGGGCACCTGACGGAGGAGGCTGCGACAGCAATCCTGCAGCTACGACAGCTGGTGGGCCTCACTGTTACAGGTTGCAGGTCGCAGGTCACAGGTCACAGGTCGCTGGTCGTGCTGCTGGCGGGGGTGGGGCAGCTGGCTGGCTCGCTCAAGGACTTGAGGATCGACATCCGGGTGTTGGGTGGGGGCCCAACTACGGCACTTCTAACCGAACAAGTGGTACTAGGCATTGCACAACTGTCGCTGCTTGAGTCCCTCACCCTGGGGCCGTTCAGCATGCCTCTCAGCGGCAGGGATGCCATGCTGCTGCCGCAACTGCTGGACGGGGGCCTGCCGCCGTCGCTGAAGAAGCTGACACTTGGAATGCGGGTTGGCAATGGCATGTGGGCTCACAGTGACGTGGGCGGAGATGGGCGCCTTAAGAACATCAAGCTGGAAAAAGTGTGTGTGGCACCTGGGGAGCCGTCCCTGCAGAAAACCCATGTTGCCGCCTCTCTGGCTCAGCTGCTACTCCCCTGCCTTGCACAGAAGGAGGAGCTTGGAAGCCTGTACATAGAATACATAGAAGTGGCCGGCCGTACCATGCCACAGCCGCTGCAGGACCTCCTGGCTCACTTCGAGCGGGTCGACGTGGACCAGCTGTACCTGCAGGCGGAGGACCTGTCCAACGGTGCTGCATGTGCCATGGCGGCGATGGACGTGCTGGGCAAGCCGCGCTTCCTGTGGCTTCACGACTGCATCGAACTGTGGCTGCGAGGCCCAGAGGGGCCGGCCTCGCTGCCCCCTGCCTCAGGACCTCAGCAACAGCAGCAGCCCCTCCCGTCCGCCACTGAGATAGGCCGGGCGGTGCTTCAGCGCCTGACTGACCCCGGTCCGGCATCACGCTACATGCTGCTGCAGGGCTCCTATGTCGGCATCTCAGCAAGGCTGCCTGGGGTGCTGCACGGGGTGATCCGCCAGCTGGGGGTCCGTGCGGGGGCTATCCACCACAGGATTGGGGCTGGCGGTGGGGACGACGGCACTCCCAAGCTGCTGGAGGGCTTCCAGCGGCTGCCGGCCGCCGCCGCGGAGTGTGACGCCGTGCTGCTGCAGTGCAGCGAGGTGCCGGGGGCAGTGCGGGCGGTGGGCCTGGCGGTGGCTGATGTAGCTGAGGGGATGCAGGGGGGGGCGCTGCAGGCGGCACCCGTGCGGCCCGAGCTGCGCGATTGGTATGAACGGTCGCCATCAGGAGCCTACCACAAAGCCCTGAATGAGGTGGGTGCATAGTACTTTGCATGCATGGCCACGGGGCATGCATGCATCTTAACTGTAAGGATGACCTGTTGCCTGGGAGCACTGGCAGCAGGCATGCCTAATAAAGTACTACTCTGCCACAAACTATGCTACTAACCTACTATACCATGGCTTATACTGCTACTCTCAGTCCTCACACATAGTTCCTTTCTGAGAACCATTAGTAGCAGTATTCCCTAATCAGACTGCACATGCCATCCTTGTAAACGTCATGCGCTTCATCTTTTCCTGTAAGCAATTCATCCTCACCCTTCTCTTGCCCTGTCGACCCCCCAACCCTGCCCTTGTCACCACCCCCAACTGTCTGCCACCACACACTGTCCTGTCCTGACCCAACAGGAGCTGCAAGCCCGCTGGGATGACGTGGGCTCCCGGCGCCGTGCGGGCGAGCGCGAGTGGCTGCAGCGGCTGCTGGTGGTGGGTGGCCAGCTGTACGACATGCCGCCGATGGAGCAGCTGTGAGGAGGAGCTGCGGGGGCCTGGGGGGGTTGTGGAGGCCTGGCGCTGAGGTGGGCAGGCCTCGTTGTCGGGGGTTGTAGGGCGGCCTGGTTGTATCATATTGGGGATGCCAGCCGTCCACACGGAGTCCGTTGTTGGTTGACGCTTTGGGCAGGGTGTAGGGCAGGCGGAAATGCAGTTGTAGCGCCCTGACACTGCCTACGGTTGGATGGCGTTAGTGAAGGTATCTGTACCACAGGAATCTAGGAGACGGATAGTGTCCAGTCATGCATCTTTGCGGTGTGTTGAACAAACTGAATGCAAAAAAAGTACTGGTATAGCTGTTGGCCGCAGGGAGATGTCTGTTGGCAGCAGACGCGGATGCGGATGGGGATCACGTAGCATACCGGTACGCGTAGGCTGTTGGGTGGCAAACGGTTCCTTGGTGGCCAGCAATGTTGGATTGCAGGAAGCGGCACATCATCCAAGTGGCCTGGGATGGCCGCCCTCCGCTGGCTTGGGCGACACGGACCAACGTGGAGCGATTGCCTGGTACGCCTGGCAGATGTAAACGGGGTTAGGTTCCTGTTGCATGACACTCCAGGGCACTCCAGCGTTTGGTCCCGTGACGCTTTTGACGGCGACCCGGGTGGGGCCTTGGATGGGGGTGGGTAGCTTGCCGGAGGATGTTCGTCGTGTGGTGACTTCTTTAGCGGTTTTGCCGCCTGTTGCCGACATTGGGTCGGCTCCTCTGGTACCGGGTGGCTGGTGTTGGGGTGTGCCTTTGTGTGGTAACCCTTCATTGCCGGTGAGGGTAGTGGGTCAGTCAGATGTGTTGGGTTTGGAACACCGCTTTCCGGTCCTCGCTCAATGCCATGCCCTTCGTTCCTTGGGTATGGGCGTGGCTGCTTTGGCACAGCTGAAAAGGTTTGAGGACACTTGGTCTTTAGCGCTGTTGCCTGGTGCGTTGCGGGATGCTGAGCACAGGGTGATGATGTGTTAACGACTTGCCACCCCCGCCGCCGCCGGCTATTCAAGGATGACGCTTGGCAGGTTTTGGTTCCCCGCTTGGGGTGGCACTCTCATATGTCTCGGGCTTGTCCCGAGCGTTGTGGCTGTGGGTCTGTTGTTTTGGGGGTGTCACCGCGGTTGCATTATTTCTGGGCTTGTCCTGTTGCCCGTGCTGTGGTTGAGCAGCTTGAGGTATCGCTGGGTGATGTGGTTCCTCGGGCTGCTTTGTGGTTGGCGTTGCCTCCTTCGGGCGTGCAGCAGTGTGTTTAGGATATTGTTGTCCTGGGTGCTTTGTCTGCTATGGAGGAGGGTCGGCGGTTTTTGCGGGCTCGCGTGCGCGAGTCTGGTTCTGCGGGTGTTGTGCCTGGGCTAACTGCCCAGGCTGCTCTTTTTGCGGTTTCCTGGTTTTGGGGTCAGCTCCGGGGGTTTGCTTGTTTGGGTGTTTCCCGTCGGGGGTGGACTGAGGTGGGCCCTTTCCATCCGTTCGTGCATGTTGTTGTCGGGCGGCATTCTGCTGTCGGTTGAGTGTTCTGTGTTTCTGGCCCTGTCTGCGAGGTAGGGTGCCCTGCTGGGCTCCTCTGGCGTTTGCGCGCACTGCTGTCTCTGCTGGGGTCTTGTTTTGTGTTTTGGTCTTTTGTGTGTGTTGGTGTTTTATTTGCCCTCTTGGAGAGGTGTTTGCTGAGGGGCCGTTTTCTTGGCTTCTACCCTCGTTCATTACCTCTTCTTGTGCCTCCTGTTGGGTTCTCATGCCTGTTTCCTGCTGGCCCGTTGTGGTGTTGTCCTTCCGGCGTGTTGCGCTTCTCTTGCAGTGTAGGGTTGGTTCATCAGATCATCACCCGTGTTCCCTTCTAGGGAACCATTGTAACGGTCATTCATTCACTACAGGGCATCGGGTGTAGCTAACAGCAGGCACATTGGCAGACTTCATACCAGCATCAACGTCGTGCAACGACTGATGCGTCCGGAGATTTGTCCTTACGACAGCATGAAAAAGGCCCCAAAGGGCACGACGCTAAATAGCTGTACTAGTCACTGTAGAGCCCCGCTTGTACCCCGGTTGTACGGAAGCACGCTAATGCCCTAATTAGCTGCTGTACAGATACACGAAGCCACATGAGGAGCTAATAGGCCGAACCAACTATTTCCAGCCTAACGTCACCGAGCAGCGCCAACTCTTCTTCTTTCATACTGGTAGGCCCCACCACCACTGCTGTCTCACGCCATGCACATGCAAACCCTAGGTACCCAGCCGCTAGACCTATCTCCTGCAACCCTCGCCCATGCACGTACTCCTGCACCCGCACCACCCTTCGTCCTGCGTGCAGTTGATGCGGCCAAAGCTCCCTCACCACCTCCACCGCTCCGGCTATAACCCGCCCAGACCGCCCTACACGTCCAGCTTGGGTCTCCGGCGCCGCCCCCAGCACCCCCCCGCACCCACCTGCCTCCCCCACGCAACAAGGCCCAAACAGCCGTCCTGCCTCCCAGCCCTACCGCCCCCGCAACCCCACCTGCACCCCTCACAGCAGCCGAGCCCTCTCCTTCCCCGCAGCCCCGGCCAACCCCACCTGCAGCAGCCGCAGCCCTCACAACCGTCCTCCGCAGCCCACGGCGGAGGCGCCCGCGGCATCAGCCCACAGCCCGCAACCCGCCCCTTGCCGCGTCCTGCCAGGCAGCAGCCGAACAGCACGTCCCGCATCCCAGACAGCGCGGCACGCAAAGCGGATCTGCGCGTAAACACCGCACCTCCTCCGCCGCAGCTGCCACAGCAGCTGTCGCACGAGGTGTGTGGCAGCTCCATATTAGGTAATGCAGGTGGAAACAGGGCAGCTGATGCCCCGCCCCCACGCGGGAAGCAGCAACCCCAGCATGCAGCCAGGAGGGCACCGGAGGCATGACCAGCCGGCGAGGAAGGCGAGGAGGGCGAAGGGCAAGTGGGTGAGGGCGGCAGCAGCAGCAGCGGTCGCCGCTGATGCTGTGAATCCAGCTGGTGCGAGCTACTAGCCGTCGCTTGCTCTGCAGAGGCGGTGGCTCCTGCTGCTGACCCATGGGTCGGCATGGCCAGCGGTCTGGGGCAGTCGTGCCAGTAGCGCCAGCTGCCGTCTCCAAACGCCTCCTCCAGCAAGCGCGCCAGCCGCGGGTCGTGTGCACGCAGAGCTGCGCGGGTGCGGATGCCGCCGTTGATGTCCTCCCGCACCGTGCTCTCGAACCAGGACTCCACAGCTGGGGGGGAGGAGGGCGGCATGAAGAGGTGCGGGTGGGGGCAGACGGCGTTGAGGAACAGGGAAGGAGCAGATTCACGAAGGGAGAAGTTGCTTTTTGGGGTGCGCTGCTGGCATTACAAGCTCAAGCCTAGGTCCAGGTCCCGCAAGCTAGGGCAGCAGCGCCCCCAGCAGGCGCCCACCCCGCCCCCGCACTCCCACCCGCACGCAGCTCACCCACGGCCCAGTACTCCTGCTCGTTGGTCATCATGTAGCAGTCCGCCGGGTACAGCCGCTCCTGGGGGGGGGGGGGAGGAGGGAAGAGGCGGGGACAAAGGTGGATGCATAAAAGGAAGCGATTTGCTACTTGCTTACAGTAAGCTTGAAACCATGCTTTTATGACGCCGTCCACTCCAACCTGTTCTACAACCTTCGTGCCTCCTGCGCGCCCCGCTCACCGCCCCTTCTGGCCCTCATCCCCACACCCGGCCCCACTTCAACTCCCCCCCCACCTGCTGCGCCTGCCTGAAGGCCGCCAGCACCTGCGCCACCTGCTCCGCCCGCAGCCCCAGGTTGAGCACCGCGTGGCCCAGCTCGTGAACAAGGATGGACTGGCAGGGGTACCAGCTGGGGGGAGTTGGGGGGGGGGCGGAAGGGGGTAACACGTGAAGAACATGGCGGGAAGGGAATTATGAGTGGAGCATTAACATATCGGCCGTAAGGGCACGGGGGAAAGGGGGAAGGGGGAACGCGGAAGAGGCGAGGGAGGGTAGACAGGGAGGGAAGGATGGGCCGGTGAGGCTCAATGTTACGGCGCGCACTAGCATGTCATGGCAGCACGCATGACAGCCCGATCGACGTCAGACCTACAAACAAAATTCGTGCAAGATATCCTATACGCTATACCACTCGTACACGCATCCCGCAGGCACGTGGGGACGCTATGCATACGGCCTCACGCCTGTAAGTGCCTGCATACCCGCTGGCCCCTGTGGCACGGCCTGGGGACCCCTGAGCAAGGCCCTGCCTCTCCGCAACCACACAGTCCGACACAGCATGGCCACCTGACGCGCCGACACACACCGGCTGCGCAACCACCTCCTCACCCGTCCCGTCCCGCCCCTCAGCACTGCAAGCCCAATGCGACTCACCCCATAGCTGTTCCCCCTCTCCCCCGGCCTCACCGGTCCCCGCTCATAGTGATGTTCTCCTCCCCGCAGCTGGTGAGCGGCAGGGCGGGGGTGCCGCCCAGACCCCGGGCGGAGGCGTCCAGGTCCCGACCCGTGTTGTGACGCATGAAGCGGTGAGCGGGCACGTCTGCGGGAGGGGGGGATTTCGCATGGACTGAGGACGAGGCCGCGCAGAAAGCATGATGCTCGCGTCGTATCCGATGCCGTATCCGACAGCTGAACTCCAAGGCCCGCCCTTATGCCTTATCACACGGTCAGTTAATTATTTCCTGTTTACCCATTCGCCTTTAGAGAACCCTCCTCACCCGCGCCCCCCCCCTTCCCTCCTTCCTTCATTATATAATTTTTATCCCCCCTTCCCCCCTCCTCACCCTCCTCACCCGGCCCCCTCCCCCCCCTCCTCACCCGACACCACCTGCTCCGCCCCGAACACCGCGAAGGCCGCCCCCGCCCCCCGCATGCGCCCCAGCAGGGGGGCGGGGCAGTGCGCCAGCGCCGACCCCACCACCGCACCCAGCCGGCTCACGGCGGCCGGGGACACGCAGTCGAACGCCTGCAGGACGAGGGGAGAGGGGCTTACAGGGTGTTTCCACTAGGCAGCGGGTTTGAACTTTCTCGGCCGTCGTCGCGCCTTTCCTTGCGCTATAAGCTCTACTAATTATGGGGACACTAACAAATAGTTATTGTGGAAAAAGAAAGAAGGAAAAGGCCAGGAATCGGCGGCCCGGTAGGCCCAAGTGGAAACGGGAGGCCCGGTAAGCGCACGCTAACCTTCCGCTAGTTATCCCCTGCCCTTGACCAGCCCCTAACCCTTAACAATTCCGGTAACCAAAAGGCGGGAACCTAGAACATCCTCTTTTCGCTATTTTCTTTGTCCTAGGGCACTACTGTTACCTCCTCAGTGCTAGGCACAAGCCGTTCGTTGACCGGACGTCTCAACTAGACACGTCTGCACCCAGCTCTGAGGTTTCGCACAGCTCTTTTACCATTGCTATTGATATTGATTAGCTTTTCATAATACGGGCCGAGCAGCATCGCATCGGTGCTCAAATCGCACAGTAGCACCTTCACATTGTCAATGGCCTTCTACTGGAAGTCGCCATGAACTTACCACAGACTGCTACGTGCAATTTCACAGATGGCAGTGCACCAATATAAAAAGGAAGTAGTTGTTCAGGGCAACTTTTGTGGTCAAAAGTGGTCTCGGCGCTGGCCTAGTGGAAACGGACGTACGCTAAGGGCTTGTTAACGGCTTGTTAGGAATTAGCAAGACAAGTTACCGGGCCGCCAAGTGGAAACACCCTGTTAGGTGAACAGGAACCTCAGCACCCGACTTCCAACGCCCGTAGCACGACAGTCATTGTGTAAGTGGGTGTTAGGGAGCTCTGTGTCAGGGTGCGCACGGGGAGGGTGCGGACTAGGAGGGGGAGCACTGCATCACGTGGCAGCTGGGAGTGGGTCCCAGCAATGCACTGACGGCTGCTGGGGTCCGAGTGGGCGGATGTCTCACCCTAGCCAGCCCCGCTTGCTGCCCCGTATGGCCGCCGCGGCACATCCAGCGCAGTAGTTAGCCATGTTTAGTTCGCAGCTTTCATGCTCTTCCGCAGCAAAGCGAACGGAAGTGTCCCCCTTCTTCTCCCCAGCTCAAGCTCACCCAGATGGGCATCCCGAGCACAGAGGAGCGCTGCCGGTAGCCACCGGGCCCCACAGGGACGACAGTAGCAGCGGCGGCAGTAGCAGCCCCGCTGCTGTCCCCTGCGGCTGCCCTCCCAGTGGGTGGTGATGGCGGTACGGCAGCCGCAGTGGAGCCGTCACCGCCGCGGGGGCCGCCGCCGGGGACAGCTAGGGTCGTCGCGGGGGCAGGCGGGTGGGGCTGCTGGGGGGTCTGCTGGGAGTGCTCGAGGTGCTGGAGCTGGGGGTGGTGTAGGTGGTGCTCTGTGCCCATGTTGAGGTGGGCGTGGAAGCCCTCCGGCGTGATGGTGACGATGGCGGAGGGGCCTGGCGGGGAGGCGGGGGGGGGGATGAGGGGAGGCGGCGTGCGGGTGTGACACCTGCGTCAGCTGAGGGTGGCGGGTGGCCCCTCAAGGCAGCATGCGGCCTAGAGCTGTTGTAAGTGCTGGGAGGCGCCTGCACAAGCAGTGATGACGTGGCAAAGCGTCTCCTAACATGTGGCTCCGCACGCTAACCCCTGCGCCCTTCGTGCCTTGCACTCAGCTCCTTTCTTTGCCCAGTCCAGTCCCTCCCTCTCCGCTCCTCCCGTACTGGCCAGCCTACCCCTGCAGCTCTATCCCTCGTTTCCCACCCCTCCTACCCCCTGCCCCTCTCCCTGCCCCACCGCAGTACGAGGCGACCAGGCCCCGAGTGCGGCTGCGCACCCGCCAGGTGTGGAAGCTATAGGTGCCTGAGGGGCATGCAGGTAGGAGGGGGGGACGGGGCGGCGAGGGGAGGGAGGCGTCGCGGAGAGGTACAGCAACACGGACCCTGATGCAGTGCAGTGTAGGGCAGTGCAGTGCAGTACTTTGCAGTGCAGCGAGTCACCGGTCTGGGCAGCCTGTCACCCGCCATCCATGTACTCACCGACAAACAGGTTGCCATGAGGCGGGATGTCGGCATGCGGCTGCACCTCCCGCGTCTCGTCGCCCCAGCCCAGGGACAGCACCTCACTAGTCTCGTTGACGAAGAGGTGGAAGGAGCCGGCGCTCACCTGCCCATTCCATTCTGCCCGATGGAGCTCCTTGTGCAAAGTCGCGCCCACTGCTGCCGCGGCGACCAGCGGGCTGGCGTGTGAGGCGTAATCAGAGCTGGAAGTGGAGGGGGATGTGGTTGTCGAGGGCTCGGTTACCGTACTGGTAAAGTTTTGAGGCATAGCATTGACAGCTGTTGCCGCTGACACCGGCGTATTAGCTGGACTCCCGATCAGGGCCACTGCAAATTACTGTTGGTGACGTTGTTGCGACTGATGCCTTGCTTCCTGTCGATGTATGGTACCGGTAGTAACGCTGGCCAGGCAATGTAGGTTAAGCTGCTGTAGCTGCTCGGGAGCGCGGGGCTCAGTAGTTTCTGGTACCCTATTGCCATTGCATATCAACGATTACGGGAAATTTAATGGACCACCGGTGTACATAAAAGCGCCCAGCAAGTTGGTCGCAAACACCGCTTGCTCTTAGTGGGCAACTCTGTAGGTAAAGAGTAACTGTTCTTCTTCTGGGACAAGCTTCTGGGCGGTAAACGGCTCACGTCGTGCACGAAATGAAGGACTGCCATGGCGCCCATGGGCAACTAAAAACTGCCTTTACCTGCCCACAGTCATACCTTCTATATGCGTTTCCGTGGCGGTTGAACTCTTCAGCCATACCATTTATTTAGTTCATCGCACCTTCGAGGTCCGCTTCTTTGGTACCGGTATCGAATTCGCCTTTGTTTCTTCCCTTGCACCCTCGGGCTAGCCAGTTTACTCACTTATACCCATATGGCTTAGGCCGTGTAGATAGGCTGTCTTACCGCCCAAGCTTACACTTGGAACCAGACCGACGGCCTTCGATAGTTTCTTAATTTTTGCGTTAAAAGGGAAGCCATGTATAAGCCTCATCTTGCTGAGAGTTATCAAAAGGAGCTGCTGGCATCGTTGCAGGTAAGTATAGAGTTTGATGCCCAACCAAAGGAAATGGCGAGCTCGCGACGGAGCAGAAGGTCAATCGCACGCGCTTTCAACCTACAGGCGAAAGGGAAGCTAGCAAAGCCGATGACTGCTGCTGATGAACGGCGTCAAATGGAGAACAACAGCACGGCGACGCGAATATTTCCAGCTTCTTGGGGAAAAGAGGCTGTGCTCGAAAACTTGATGGTAAAAGCTAACGAGCGTATAGAAAAAGCCAACGGCAAGGCGAAGCCGGGTATGCCTACGGCTGAAGCAACGGGGCGTTGCATCTCTCGAAAGACTGAACCGTCCGCAAGACATCAGCTCCAGGTATAATGAACTGGCTACCTGGCGTTGGATCGTTTTGTCGGGAGCGGCACGCACATTCCGGGCTTCTCGTCAAGGATAGTAGACGGTTGCCCCAGGGACACGGTAGCCATCCCCAATGGCGTTCCTGGCTGGGATGAGGACCGAGCAGGAGCAAGATAAGCTCACGCGCTTCCGTTGCCATCATGATTCAAGCTCTCACTGCCCATCAGTTTGGTTGCCCCACTTGCGTTCGCAGGGCAACCCAGCTTGCCTGCCGACCCAGCAGGGAGGCATCAACCTTCGCCTACTCCTGGTCTTCTACCTAACACCGCCGTTGTTCCCTTCCATGTGCGCCTCCCTCCGACCGCAGGCTCGCGTTGCGGAGCTGGAGATGGAGGTCAAGGCTGAGCGGGTGCGGCGGGAGCACATCGAGGAGGAACTACACGGCCTTAGAGACACGGGGTCGCGAGGGGGGAATTGAGGGGTCATTAGGCTGGCTAGCGGGTGGGGAAGGGCGCATGCTGCGGTCAACGTACGGTACTTGCATGGAACTTGATGGCGGCATTTGGGACGGGAAAGATGGGTAGGTGTCCTGAGTTGCACGGAAGGTCAGACAGCAAAGACTTGCAAGGCATGGTAACAAGGTGGATGGCTGGATAGACATAGGTAACTGCAATATGCGCTGGACGGGCGTTCGTTACGGATGTACCGCAACTTTACGGTGTGCACATGTGTATAGAGTGGGGTGGTGGCGGGCCGGCTGGGTGCAAGTCTTGATTGGGACAGACCTATGTATGCGGGGTCGCTCCTTGATAAACTGGCCGTTGAGTGCAGGTTTGTAATGATTAGCAATCCTACCGCAGTTCGCCTGTACGACGTGGCGTTCGGACAGGAGATAAGGGGCGCTCTGGGCGCTCAGTTTGTATGGCCGTAAATGACTATTTGCGGGCCGCCAGGCAGGAGGGGTTTAGCAATATTTGTACGTAGGTGATGCTATGGCAGGTTTTAGGTCAATGAATGATAAATGCTTTCGGTTGTACGACATGGCAGGAGGGTCATGTGCGCGGTTGTTAAGGTACATGCTTTACTCGTGTGCTTGGGTATGCTGTTTTCCAAGTCCAAAGCTATCAAACCTAGACCTACCCCAACCACATGTAACTTGTGACGGTGCGCAATCCTGGCGCGATAATGCGGACATTTTTGTCGTGGTGTTTATGTATCTTGCTCGTTTGGGTGCAGCGTTTGCGCTAGCTTGACAGGATTCGTCAAGAGCGATGCTGATTTCCGGGTTCCACTGAAGTGAAAGAGCAAGGCAGGGTCTAAATTTTAAGCGCCTTTCCGCTCACCCTGCTGCCTGTTGCCACGCCCGGGCGGGCAGAGACCGATCAAGGCCGTTGCGAGCTAGAGCGACGATACGCAGGCTTAAGGCCAGCCACCATCGGTGAAACTACCGGTGCCAGCGTGCAACCCATGCTGGCGTCATCCCGCAACAAGACAGCCCTGCCTAAGAGTAACGCACTTCGCCCCCATTTAGCGGCAACTTAAGCTCTGTCAGGAGCAGCTCCGTGCGAGGTCTCGATGGGGACGTCCCGCCACACCCCAGGCGGCTGGTTCCTTCCATGTCCTACCCTACTCAAGACCTTTGCTGCTAGCGTCACTCAGCTCCCTCCCATCTCGCATTCCACGGCCCCCTGCGCGCGCATAGCGTATCGCCCATAGAAAGCTAGCATGCGTTATGAAGCGTAATGTGCAGCCCCAGTTGACAACACGGATGCATGTATTGCCCCATTTGACCTTCTGTTGGCAAATTCCTAGCCCCAACTGACAAGTCCGGGAACCCGTTCAGGCGCTATTTACAGAACGCAAAACACTTTGTTTTGTTCAATAAACTATGGGCAATACGGTAGCTTCACCGCTGCCCCCTTTCCTCATCTTGCCCTTCCCGGGCGGAATTCCCACCGCGATGTGCCTTCAAGCAAGGGGGCGACGCGTGTGTCCTTGTGTTCGTCGTAACGGCAGAACATAGAAACTAGACAAAACTGATATTTGAGATACATATATCCACTACGTACGGTTTGCTGCAAGTCCAGGAAACAACAACTTCGTGACTAACCAGGGGAAAAATAAAAGTGCAGCAATGGAGTCCCAATCCCAAATTGCAGTGTGCGCAGGAGGGGGGGTCCCAACAACGCAATCTCTGGGCTGATCCACCATGATTGGCCAGAGGTCGGTAAGACAGTTGACAGCAAATCCCTGCGAACAATTGAAGGGGCAAGCCTATGGTCAGCCAACCACGCTAATGGTGTATCAAACAAGAAGCCAGGTTTAAAGTGCAGGCCAGGATGGAAGCAATCATGACAAGCCCACCATACAAACCCTTCGACCCCGCCCCTGTTAGTCCCCCACCATAGTTTTGAAGGTAGCTGTGTCTGATCATCGCGCACCAAGATTTTAGAAAAAAACATATTACGCGCAGGCCCCGGAGCAATTATTTTTTTTGCGCGTCAATGCACATTTTGCCATTTAGTTATTTATTTTTTGCGTGATGATCACTGGGAAGGACGGGTAGATAGGGTAGCTGGATGGCAAGAGTTAGTGACTAACGGATTTGTGATACCTATAAGCAACCTGCAAGTTACTTAAAATGTTAGGGTTAGCAGCTGGCCAACCTGTTGAGGTAACGGGTGCAACAGATCGTAGCTGACAGTCGTAAGGTGATCGCGGTCCCTCGGCTATCACACGCGATGGTTACACATCTAGTAGGCCCGAGTTGGGCGAGCAATAGCCAGAGTCTAGGCCAACGAGGGCCGATAACAATGTCGTGCCCCATCGTTGGCTTGGCCATCTGAGGACACTGGGGTGCGGACGCCACAGGACGGGGCTGGGCTGCGGGCGCGATCCCTGCAAGATCCATGCACGCGACGCAGCAGCCGCCCTCCACCCCTCCCGAAACCAGGCTGACCAGACCCGGCTGGCGAAACGGAATACCAGGAACTAGAACGTGAGCGACTGTGCATGTGGAAACTCCGCTGCGGCTAGGACCAACTAGGTAGCATTCTGGGGCGTCGGCGTCGGACCTAGGATTGCGTGATCAGCATTACATTGCCAACTGGTGGCCGCTGTCTAATCCATCAGGTCAGTCACAGGCCAGAGAAGGCTAGACCATCCTGGTAAGACCATCGGACACCCAACCAGTAACAATGGCAACGCTAAAGCGCGCATGCAAGGGCAACGACCACCGTCCTACATCCTTGCATATGTTGCGAGCAGAGCGCAGCCCCGAGTCTGGGGGCTGCGCGACCTAAGAGGACTGACGGCTGTACGGCACAGATGCCAGATACGCCGTACCAACCAGACCGCGAACGAACCACACCCAGTGCATGACACTGCACTCCAATCCCAAGCATATACATGAGAACACGTGCACAAGCCGAGAACACCCTCTTGCCCACGAAATGCACGAGCCGTCAACGGGGCATGACAGCAAGTCCAAAGCGTCGAAAGACAGCGTCGCAAATAAACGTACCGTATATAGGTGTAGAACACAGCTTCAATAATAAAGGAGTAATATCAGCGCCTTAAATCGGCGGTAGTAGTCGGTGAATGGTCCAACCCAGGTCAGTATCCTAACTGCCGCTCGTCCAAACGTATCAGGACAAAAACTAAACTAAATGATTGCGAAAGCAGTAGATCTCGCCTGCACGTATCAGTCGTTAACAGGGCTGGTAGCCAGAAACAACGGAAGTCTCGCGTCCAGTCGCAGAATTACACCCAGGATAGGCGTCTGCATGTATTAGGTAATCTATCCAAGCAAAGCACTCCTCCTTTTATATTAATCCATACGTCCTCAACGTACAGGCCACAGCAACTAGTAGGAAACAACCTCCACCTTCTCGCTCCGTCCGACAAAATGATCCTTCTAGGTCGCTGCCTGCCTGCCTCCACGCAACTAGGCCTCAAGGAACACGCTTAGGCAGACCAACATGGGCACACTGGAATAAACATAGCGAAGGCAAGGGTAAGTAGCCAACGCAATGAGGGAAACTAGACGAAGCAAGGGGCGACGATAAGGAGCCCGTCCTTACTACTATGAATAACTAAAACGCACTAGCACAGACAACTTATTCTCCACTTAAACAGCGCAGCACAGTATACTGAACTCAGCCGTCATAGTCCATAATCCGCCTCCTTACTCCTGGCCCAGCTGTAGGAACGGAAAAGGAACACACAAGGCACCAAACAGCATGTTAACATACTAATAACAACCAGAGGCAGAGTTTAGACAGCATCACCTAGTCGCAGCAAAACATAGCAAGTCCGAATGTTTTGGCTGCAGTGTATTCATGTGACAGGGCATTGGTTGACTATCTTGGTCCCGGCCTAAGCCTTCCCCCTGCGGATCTTTCCGAACTAGGAAAAAATTCCTAGCCTTCCCCGCACGGCGCATGACCACAAGCAAGCCCCAACTTTAGAGCAGGCCATAAAATCGCTTCGGTCTGGTATACCACAACATAACATGGCAATGCTATAGGCCGGTCCCTAATTGTAACTTAAGCGATGGCACCCATCCACCGGAGAAGCGACGCGACGTGGTCCGACAAAACTGCCTAAGAAACAGGTAGTATGCAAGCTTACTTCGGACAGAACCGCAAAACAAGGGGCTTCGGAAAGGAGCTCTAAGACAGCAACGACGGCGAGGAATTAGGTCCAGGTGACGAAAGCTCATGCTACCGGGCTGACAAGCTTGCTCTACCTTCCCCACACTTTACTTGGTGAACATTGCACGGACGCGTGCACCTTCTTGCTTGACACTCAGACGCCAAGCGCGGCCAACCCTGAACAATTGGTCCCTTCACATCCAGACACACCAGCCCAGCCGATGCTCGCATCTCCACGCACGGACGCACAATACACGGGCAGACCATGAGATCGCTTTGGTCTGGTACTTAATAGAGATAACAAGTACCTATTAGCTGCAAATATTAGTTCAATCTAGGTTGTGTGTTTTGCCGTTACCGTTATAGATACACGGACGGACGGACACACGGACGTGGGCAATCTTAGGTTGGGGGGCCTCGCGGTGGGGGCTCCACCCAATGATACGTACTAGCCATCTAAACGACAAACCTCATCAAGCCCCACAACGGCAAAGCACCAAACACACACAGCTGAGCCGAAACCTCATAGGCCAGAAACCGCAATAGTAATAAACACTAGCACCGCCCGAAAACAAACCCAAACAGAGATAGCAGTGTGCAGCGGCGCCCACGGCACCAAAGACACATAGCTCTCACTTCCACAAGAAATACATATCCTGCAAAGGTCCAACCCCGCCCTGCCAACACCCGATGGGAAAGACCTTACCAAGACATGCAAAACCACGAAGCTGGTCACAAGATAAGGAAACAGTAGACTAGGCAACCCGCTGGTCAATGAACCCACAACCCCCGCGACACCACGCACATGAGCCCGCAACACTCTCCGACCCTCCTCCATAGTAGACAAGGCGGCCATAACCAAAACACCCCAAACACTCTGCGGCACTTACACCCATGGGAGGTAATCCTAGCCACAAAGGATAGCCCGTGTGACCACCGAACCCAACTTGACCTCAAGCTAAAGAACCACATCACCGCAGCATGCAAAGACAGCACATGCATAGCGCTGCAGGGGAGAAACCCCCACGACGACAGAAACATAGCCACAACGATCAGGACGGGCACTAGACATATCAGAATCCCTCGTGGGACGAGCATTAGACATATCAGAAACCCTAGCAGAATCCCTAGCAAGGAATATCTCAGCAACGGATCAACACAATAAGTCTCCTGGACACTGCTTTCTCACCTAACATTCCAGAGGAGCTGCCGTAAGTAACATCGAAGGCTATCTAAAACCCCTTCAGGAAGCCCTTGGGTGTCAAGTAACCTACTGGCTTCCCGAATAACGGCTACACGTAACACATCATCACGGTCCTCAAACGCACTGCAAGCTAAAGATTTGTGGCCATCCGAACGGGAAGGTTGCGTAAGGGAACAAATCCAAGATGACACGCCTTTAACCCCAAACGAGGAACTAATACATTCTTCTACTTCGGTTACCGGCGGTGGTTGGGGCGACCAAGCTCTTAAAAAGTAAGGAGCCTCTCCGCAGCCGCCACCCAAGCCGCCGGCACCCCATTCATCAAGGTCTTTATTAACGGCAACACATTATACTAGGCAGAGAAAAACGAGCAGAGGCAAGCCGGATAAGTGACCGACGATTGGCCGACGAGGGTCAGCACGGCACTGCTGTCGCCCTGTCCACACGCAAGGGGCACATTTCACCACAACATGTCACCACGCACCGACAAACTCGTCTGTCAAGTACATAGTTGGAAGTCATACACTATGGGACAGCTAAGGGAGTGAAACACCCATCGGCGTGATAATTCCACCACCACAGCATCAATCCACTACAAGAGGACACGTGTCAGGAAGTGTCTTAGGAAGGCTAGGAAGGCCCCTTCAAGGACGGTAAGCCACCAGCGGTAACTGCAACTTGGCATGAGCATATAACCACGCGAGGAACACACTTCACCACACACGTACACCGGATCATGCACACGCAATTGTGCGTCTCCTCGCGGCCATGTTTCCGTTCAAACAAGCGCTTGTTCAGTTGAATATCTTGACAGAAATCCAATCTAAAGCTATGTTCACTTCCGTCGGCGTTGAAGTCCCATCATAGCCATACACAACATGAAAGAGCGACGGACATCTGGGTAAGAGCTTCCAGAAGCCAGAAGCCGCCAGCTAGCGGTAACCGTCCGTAACCTAGCATGAAGGCCAGAATGCCGTAACAGGCACACTCAGCTGCTTACCCATTTTAACCCCTAAATGACTGACCCCTTTGCGCGCGCCTGAAGGCATGGCCTTTGCAAAACTTTACCTTCTACTTGATCATGGATATGACAACAACTTCAGGCCGGCTCTAGAACCAGGCTTTTGCAAAACAAGTAAGGTACGAGGCTTACTCAGGCAGGTACACCAGGTACAAGCAGAATCTCCAGAGCTCGATGGTAGGTTCACACACGGAGGAATTGCTCACGGCGCCATGCCTTGTACTAATCATCCTCATTAACCTCCTCCCTCTAATCCCAATCACTATCATCTGTATAGTCATCATCATCAGTATCATCAGTATCATCAGTATCATCATACCAAACGTGGTCATATGCGCAGTCATCCCCGTACTGGCACCAGCCTTTGTTGAAGAACTTGCAAGGCTCGGGGTGGTGGAAATTACAGGCGCCTCCAAACCTGCAGTAGTTATTTTCCCAGTGCCAGCAGACAGCGCGCCAACCGCGACCACCGCCGCCAGCCGGCCATTGACTTGGGGGGGCGGGCGGGGGGGCCGGGAGGGGCGAGGGAGGGTCCTCCGATGCTGGGCTACGAGTGCCGGCCTGCATGTTTGGGCATGTAAAAAACGCCTGTTTAATGACGGGACATAACAATACAGCAAGCAACGGATCCATACTGAAGTGCACGACGTTTATACCACATTGTGCCTACAGAATGCGCCACCAATGGAGCGAGCCTGCTGCATGTGACAAGCAAGTGAAGGGGAAAGTGTATCCATTTTTCAGTTACATGTGTAGTTGAGTAGGACAAGAGCAAGCAATTGGGAGAGGTTCGCATGTGAACCGCGAGTACAGGCAAAAACAGAGGTGACCAAACCTGAACCGTAATTCAAAAGCTGCTTAATTAGCTGTTGCTGGATGTAAGAGGAGTGGCGGGTGACGAGTGACGACGCATGTCGGTGATGCTGATTTTTCAGTTACATGTGTATGCATGATTGTCTGACATGAACATTATCATAACAACCCCCCCCAGCAAGAGCGCACTCAATATGTTGGTGGCTTCTAGCCCGTGGCTTGTATGCGTTTCACCATTGGCACATGCACGCTTGGCTGTTCTAGATGGACGCAGATGCCTGGTGCACAAAAATGCAGGCAAAACCTTGCTTTAACTTATACGCGTCTACAAAACTACACGCAGCTGCTACAAATAACGGACTAGGGGCGTGAAATATGGAATGTACAACCTCAGGCGGCCGGTTGGCATCCATCAGTAGCAGGCGCACAAACCCATCGTTGCCCTCTTTCTCGGCCGCCTGAAGAGGCGTCAAACCATCCTGGAAAAGGGCATTCGCAGAAGGCAGGGAATGCACGAAAACAAAGTAAGAGCTCCTTGGATAGGAACTATCCACACGTGGCATGTAATGAGTACGTGTGCACCCTATATTTCAGTGTCTTGCGGCACTTTGCTAAATCCTGCGTAGTGAACACGTGGATACGCTATTAGCTCGGGTACGTGCGTCCTTAGGAGAGAGCCTTGGGACCCTAGACATATCACTACATCTGCTTTTTAAGACAGGCTTAAACAGCATTTTAGCAGGCTGCTGGCTGGATTCGCACCGGGCCTTCTATGTTAGGATCGGCGCCTGCGTTCATCAAGGCGCACACCACCTCCGAATGGCCCCTCGCTGAAGCTGCCACTAGCGCTGGGCCCGTGATTGCCTGCATTGGGGAGTGCACATTGGAGGTGTGGAAGAAGTATCCAACGCTAAGTAACTCTACTGCAGCTGCGGAAGCTCTCATTGACGGTCGGGGAGGAGGAAGGGAAGAGCCTGTACGAGGTCACCAAGGTATGTTTGTTAAGGTTACTGAGCCACGTAGTAGTACCCGGTATTAAACCAGGGTACATGTGCATATGACACGCAATCGGGAACTTCGTCGTACGCCGAGTGGTGCAGGTTCGGTTAGGGATGTGTCAAGCCGTGACGAACCCGCGTGCAACTAGCCTACCTTTACGCCGACCCTGCTAGCCCCGCAGCCTACGTGCATCTCACCATCCGTCACGGGCTTAACACGACTTGGCCGTCCGAATCCTTTCTTCACACTCCATCACTCTCTTTCCAACCGTAGGATCTGCCCTTGTGGCGGCAGCTGCATGCCTGCGAGTTGCGGTTGGAGGGCAGGGCGCTGGCGGCTGATGTGCCGCTCCTGACCCGGGCGCTGCCGGGCTGCCTGAAAGCGCTGCACCTCAGGTGGGCAGGCAGTTGAAGGGGGCAGCTGCATGGAACAGTCTAGCGCCTTGCTAGCGTCTCTGTAGCATAGTGCACCGCTAATCCACTGGTCATGTTCTCTCACTTGTTTACTATATCTCCCTCTTGCCACCGTATCAGGTCCTGTACCGTCACTCCCTCCTCCCTGGCTGCCCTGACCGGCCTCAGGGCCTCAGGGCCTCAGGGCCCTGACCAAGTAACCGTCAGATAAAACTGTAACGAAGAAACATGTCTGGTGTTTCCTTTCCTCCTACGCCTAGCCGTTCGGCCGAATTCTCTTCCGCAATTCTCTTCCGCTATTCTTAACGGCGGATCACAACTGTATACATGCATTTGTCTAGCACTCAGGCCCTGGCATTGTATACTGAGGTGGGTTAAAGTGTTTTGGGGTTACGCCTCCCCCAAATGCGTTTGCGCATACGACACTTCGTATAACAAAAGGCTTACCAAGGGGCTGACACCTGCTGGGGGGTTGGAGGCGCTTTCCCGTTTCCGAAGTAATTCTACGACACTGACATGACCCTTCTCATTAGCAACTTGCAGCGCTGTCCTGCCGACCTAACAGGAGGGGGAGCCACAACAGGTTGTTACAAGGCCATACAGACGGAAGATTCAGCCACAGCAAAATCCTTCTCGAAATATCTATCCAGGTATGGCAGGCATACCGGCGGTCGCACCGACATAATACTCAAGACGGTAATGTCGTGCTGAGTATTTTGCAGGCAAGCGAAGCGCGTATGTTGTATATAGGGTACCTAGGGTAACTAAACACTTTACCGTAGCCGACAATATACGCCCCATCTAACGTGTGACGTCACACTGCAAAAAACGACGGGCCTCCTGCCAAGATGGCGCTTGTGACCATCAAGGAAATCTTCAGGAAGACTATATATTATCCTGCTCAACTGTAGCATTCCTAGAATACACCACGAATGGCCTAAGGACCTGGCAAGTTGACCAACGGCCACTAAGGTTTGACCGCTTTGACCGCAAGTTCACCAACGCTTGACCCGTGCTTGGCCGCTTGCACTGGGGAACTCCCTGCTTATTACTAGGCCTTAAAGATGGAAGACAACGTTAGATGGGGCGTACATTGTCGGCTACGGTAAAGTGTGACGTCACACTGCAAAAAACGACGGGCCTCCTGCCAAGATGGCGCTTGTGACCATCAAGGAAATCTTCAGGAAGACTATATATTATCCTGCTCAACTGTAGCATTCCTAGAATACACCACGAATGGCCTAAGGACCTGGCAAGTTGACCAACGGCCACTAAGGTTTGACCGCTTTGACCGCAAGTTCACCAACGCTTGACCCGTGCTTGGCCGCTTGCACTGGGGAACTCCCTGCTTATTACTAGGCCTTAAAGATGGAAGACAACGTTAGATGGGGCGTACATTGTCGGCTACGGTAAAGTGTTTAGTTTATTCAAGCGCCCTTCTTTGCGGGCATGAGGTAGTCCTTTCCTTACCCTTTAAGCGTAAAAAAGGATCGAATTCCACCATAATTGTGCTTACGACGTCACACCGCAAAAAACGTGGCCAGGTCTAGGGCCTATCTACCGTAATTACGCCGACGTGGCTACGTACGTCAGATTGTAAAACCGTAAACCGGACGTAAGATCCCAACCCCAGGTTTCGGGGAAGAGGGAACCAAACGACTACGCGTATTCCAAACACTTTAAACTTGAATGCGCATCTTGACGACGCATACGAAGATCTAGAGTGGCTTAACCCAACCCCACCGGGGCAGATGTGCAGCGATAATGCGGGCAACATGCAGCAGTGCAAGTGCTGCATGTCTCATGAGCAGTGGCTAAGACTATTTAAAGCTTATGACAGTAGTCTTAGCCACTGCTGATGACACATTACCGGTACCCTAATGTCAAATGGCCCTCAGACAGTACCGCCGGGCACAACCACGCACCCCTATCAATAATTTAGTGTCAATGTGTTTTGTAAAAATGACACGGCAGTAGTATGGAAGCAGCCCGCACGCACCGAGTTAGCCAGGTCGTGTTTAGCGCCGGCTTGCAGCAGCATCTCCACTATGTCCTTGTAGCCGTTAGAGGACGCCAGCAAGAGCGCTGTGCTCCCCTCCTGCAAAACATCCCAGTGACCAAGTGTGGTAAGAGCGTATCACACGGTGGGCGAGCATACGCCGCGCAAGAAACGAGCAAGAAATCGAACCAAGCCACGCACGTTTGACAATACAGTACAGGCCTGGAATTGGGGATGATATGTTCATGACGATGATGATGATGATGATGACAATGATAATGACAAGCAAGTTCAACGCATATCCAACAAGAAGGGTGTCAGCTGTTTTGGCTAGGGGTGTCAGCTCAGCTGGTCCAATGAGGTGACAGCAGCTACCGTCATTCCCGTCGCCATTCACACGTTCCTCCACCCCTCCCAGAATTGGGAAAGCTGGCACCCCTTTGCCTTTGTTAGGACCGGTAACTAACCGGTCCTAACAATTGGCAATCATGACGAGCGATTGTTGTTCCTAGCAAAATGTATTGCCTTACATTGGATTTCAATACGATTAGGGTTGGGACTCGAACCCGTAATTACCAGGCCCTGGTGACCGTACTTAGGTAACGGTAGCTACATCAAGACCAACCAAGTTGGCGCTACAATCCATCGTCGTATTTCACAGTAGCTGTTACACGCCATAACTGACACAGAAGACCTGCAACCCTTACCTAACACCGTTTCTTAGCTCTTTATACCTGTTTTGGTAGCTGTCGGATGTAAGACATGGCGAATATGGCAGCCGACGGGCCTCCTGCCAAGATGGCGCTTGTGACCATCAAGGAAATCTTCAGGAAGACTATATATTATCCTGCTCAACTGTAGCATTCCTAGAATACACCACGAATGGCCTAAGGACCTGGCAAGTTGACCAACGGCCACTAAGGTTTGACCGCTTTGACCGCAAGTTCACCAACGCTTGACCCGTGCTTGGCCGCTTGCACTGGGGAACTCCCTGCTTATTACTAGGCCTTAAAGATGGAAGACAACGTTAGATGGGGCGTACATTGTCGGCTACGGTAAAGTGTTTAGTTTATTCAAGCGCCCTTCTTTGCGGGCATGAGGTAATCCTTTCCTTACCCTTTAAGCGTAAAAAAGGATCGAATTCCACCATAATTGTGCTTACGACGTCACACCGCAAAAAACGTGGCCAGGTCTAGGGCCTATCTACCGTAATTACGCCGACGTGGCTACGTACGTCAGATTGTAAAACCGTAAACCGGAAGTAAGATCCCAACCCCAGGTTTCGGGGAAGAGGGAACCAAACGACTACGCGTATTCCAAACACTTTAAACTTGAATGCGCATCTTGACGACGCATACGAAGATCTAGAGTGGCTTAACCCAACCCCACCGGGGCAGATGTGCAGCGATAATGCGGGCAACATGCAGCAGTGCAAGTGCTGCATGTCTCATGAGCAGTGGCAAAGACTACTATTTAAAGCTTATGACAGTAGTCTTAGCCACTGCTGATGACACATTACCGGTACCCTAATGTCAAATGGCCCTCAGACAGTACCGCCGGGCACAACCACGCACCCCTATCAATAATTTAGTGTCAATGTGTTTTGTAAAAATGACACGGCAGTAGTATGGAAGCAGCCCGCACGCACCGAGTTAGCCAGGTCGTGTTTAGCGCCGGCTTGCAGCAGCATCTCCACTATGTCCTTGTAGCCGTTAGAGGACGCCAGCAAGAGCGCTGTGCTCCCCTCCTGCAAAACATCCCAGTGACCAAGTGTGGTAAGAGCGTATCACACGGTGGGCGAGCATACGCCGCCCACAATCACATCAACAATGATTAACCCGTAAGGTACAGCCAAGTTGGCTGTAAAAGTCACCGTACTGATTGCAAGTAATGAAACGTACCAAAGAGTAAACACCTTTGCAGGCGCCCTCTTTTAGCAGCATCTGTACAACACAGGCATGACCCTTCGCAGCAGCCAACACCAGGGCTGTCTTGCCGTCCTGTCCGGAAGGGATGATCAGGGCCGCCAGAAGCCAACGACTTAACATCCATATTACAAATACTCTTTGGATACAATTGCATTAGAACGTCGAAGTTGTTAGCCGACTAAAATTGTCACAAACATTCTATTCATGTTATAGCTGGTGAACACAAACCAATACATGTCCAGCGCAAAGAAAACAGCAGCAGGCAACATTGGCTAACATATAATGGTAGGTGCACTTATACAGCATGTGCACATACCTTTGAGATAGCATGAATGTCTACCCCTTCGTAGATCAGCCTTTTGGCAACACCAGAGAGGCCGGCAGAGCATGCCGCCATAAGTGTTGTCCACCCGCCCTTTTAGGGTTTTAGGAAGCATGTACGGAAGGGTTGATTGAAGGATATATATACGTCAGAGGAAAGAAGGTTAGGAATAGTGCAAGTGCTAATGGGGACATGTGTGTGCTTCTCCTCCATAGGTGATTATGTAGGATGGATGCATACATAATATTGCCAGCACATTTATGCACCCAGTTCACACTTGCAAAGTAGGCATCCAGCAGTGTTATGAATCATGGAAAGCATGGGCATACAGAACAAGTACCTTGTAAGCAAGTTTCTATTCGTAATGCAAGTCACACGCACCTTATCTCGCTTATGGATGTCCGATCCAGCAGCAATGAGGGTGTGTACAACTTCATACATGCCCTCACATGAGGCAATGAACAAAGGGCTGATTCCATTCTGCAAGGGCCATGAGGCTGTGGATCAATGCGTAACAGACGTATTATACTCATCGCACATGTGTGGTATAGTATTGTAACGCATAACTGCTAATGCACGTCCTACTAGTAGTGGGACAAATTCTCTTCCTGGATAGCCTGCTGGACTCTTCGGGTGCCTACAAAGGTCAGTACACATGTCAGCTTCCTCAGAGCCGTTACCACCCACCTCGGTCTCAGCGTTGACATCTGCACCAGCTTCAATAAGCGAATTCACAATGCGGTAGGTACCCATTTTACAGGCAAGGTGGAGGGGAGTGACACCATCCTGCGTGGCAGTAGTAGTGGAGGGCCAAATTTGCCACCTTGCCAACAGCTTCGCTTCATTATCCGAAGCCATCGCTTTGCCACCTCGCCTTCGACAGAACGTTGCCGTATCAAAGAACGTTGCTGTGCTTGCGAAACAATGGTTCCGTGGCTTCAGAGCAGAGAGTTGGTTGGTTGCTCGAAACGACCATGGTGCGTGCTCTGAGTAGTATATCCCAGAGCCGCCTTAAATCGTTGGGGCCATAAAGCGGATGATTGCCGTATACAGACGAAGGCCTGTCTTGAGTACCAAATACGGTCTCCAGGATACCCTCATCGACATTGAACAACAACGCAAACACGCCATCCCACAGCAGTCTAGGCCCCAACTCTCGCTGTACCTCGCTTGCAGCGTCAACGTCAGCACCCGCCTTCAGCAGGGCATCCACTATGTCAGCGTTCTCACCCTTGCATGCAAGCATAAGAGGTGTACTGCCATCCTGCAGTGGACAGAAAGTAGAGCGCTTTTAGAACCAGCAGTTCATGTAGGCTCAATCAACATACAATATTCGTTAGCAGCGGAAAGGTGCCCGCTACATAATACGCATTACACAAGACGTAAAACAGCCCCATAAGGGCATTCGCCCTCTCACCACATGCTGGATGTTGGGGTTCAGTGTTGGGTCTGCCAACAGTGCTGCAATCTTGGCTGAGTCGAAGGCAGCATCCCTTCTGAGCTCCTGAAGAAGCAGCTCCTGGAGACACAGACATCAGTAGTGAAACAATGCTGGCGGTTATGGATGGGCCTTACCCTAACTGTCTAGTGCAGTCAACCAAGGGTGTTATACATGAGCAGTATGTATATAAGGAAGGTAGCCATATGGTCCTCAGACGCTGCCTAACACACCACACCTCTTCACGTGTTTTGGGAATGCGTGGCTGTAGGTCTGGGCGCTCTGTGGCAGCAGCGACCACCACCTTGGCCGCCAACAGCGCCTGCTGGAGCCCTGTGTGTGGTCGGGGTAGGGGGATAAAGAGGCTTGCGATAACTATAAACACTATTATGAAAGTTTAAAAAGGGAAGACTCTGGATCTACCCACTCACCCCTGCTGTACGGCAAAGCATGTCTTGCAACATGTAATAAACATGGCTAAAATGACAAGAAAGGGAAAGGGGGTTCAGCTTTTGCATCCGGTAGGGAAGAGCTTATGCCATACATCATGCATGAGATCTATATGTTATCACACTTGGTCCGCACAGGAACGTATTACAGTCACTGCAATGCACGGCATGCGCTCCTGTGACTCCACGACACCAACACATTTTGTTACACTAATGAGTGAGGACGCTATGTACGCCATGAGTGAACAAGGCAGCAGGTCTCGAGTGGACAAGGGGCTATGGGCGTCTGGGGTCGCCTAGCCATGCAGCAAACACTCAATAAGACTACAGGGGGGTTCAGCGTCCGTGCAACAAGGTGTGCTAGGTCAACTGGTGCCGAGGAGTCACAGAAGCGCATGCCGTGCCATCCAGTGGTAGTAATATGTTCCTGTACTGAAGAGGAGGGGCTCCGCCCTTTTCCAACTTTGAGAAAGCCGACCCCCCTTGTTTAGTCGCGACCCCTCCCGGACCCACCCACCTACAGAACATCAAACGCTATTTTTTCATGTTTTGTACGCAAAAAAGGCCGCAGAGAAAGACCGATGGATTCCTTTCAGTGCCCGCTTTCTAAGCTTGATTATTAAGTCGCGCATAGTCGTGTCATTCCATGCTCACGCCACCCAGCCCTATCGACAGAACGGGTGCACCGTTGTACACTAGCTTGCCACGCCGGCACTACTGCGTCCAATATACCAGGAGTTTACAGCAAGTATTAGCAGGGATCAGACGAACTGCCGTGGTTGGCATGCATTGCTTACACAGCTGCTGCCGAGAGACCTGCCCCGTTCCTCCGTTAACCCCACCCCAGAGATGCAACACATGGGGGAGCCTTGTCACACGGTTAGCTTCCCGGCACCCTTCTGCTTGCCTGGGCATAATGCCTGCAGGTGATTTTCCCCTAAGTGAAGACACCTGGATCCGCACCCTGCCTTGGCCCCACCCATACGTGTTTTGGTATCTCTCTGACCACCCATGCGTGGTGTGTTAAGACATCATGCCCAAACCATAACGGGAAGAGGCAAATAATCATTCCTATACTACTTACATTATGTGTACCGTCTATGTTTAACAATGCCAGGAAAATGTTAGGCAGCTTTCGAAAGGAAAATCCACTAGACCCGCAGACCCCACGCAACAACTCGTGCACAAGTAATCCTGAAATCAGACTAGGAATTCTCTCTACGGGCTCTTTACTTTAATTATGGGGGTCTGTCCTCGAGTTTCCCATCCCCCGCCCTCAGCTGCCCGCTTCTAAGGGCGCGGCCTATAGGTGAATTACCCACCCGTGCTTGTTTCCTCGCACACTCAGGGTGCAGGCAGTAAAAGAAAGCCCTTATATTGTAGTACACGTGTTCGGTCTGCTGTACACAGCTTTGCTGTCAGTCAAGGGTGTTCACTTTTAGTCATGTCCCCCGTAAAAGTTGCCTCCAAGCTTCTGCTAGCTAACATGTCTAGACGGTGGTCAACGATGTTTCCCGGGTGTTGGCAGCTGTGCTGCCCTTCAATGGTGTACGACAGCCTCAGGCCTCTACTAGGGCATGCTTGGCAGCGTGCCCGCCATACACATCCTCGTTGCACGGCCATACGTGAGGCGCATTTGATAGTATTTGTTAGAATTCTGAGCGAGTGGGCGATGGATGGAGGCCCAAACTCGGTAACGGTGTTCATGGGGTGCATGCTGCCTATTGGGAAATTTTTTGTCACGCGGATTGCTGGGGCGAGCAGCTGTGAACGAACAGGTATGTGAGGAATATTGTGTAGTAATGCTTACCAACCTAGTTAAAGATCGGCGCCGGCGGGGCTGGTAATGGTGGTGGGGAGGGGTAGATCGTAGGGCAACTACCACTCCCCCATATTTCCGCGGACTTATGACAAGGAGTGCCCACGTCCGTGTACTACACGGTATAAGCGTGGGTGAGCCTTCCTTGCAGCGGTACACTACACCTGTTGGTGACAATGCGCCATGTATATACGCTTATCATCCCGAACTTGACAAAGGGGCGCCAGCTCGTCATATTGACTACGCAACTACTGCTGAAATCCACGCAAGGGGTGCCATCTTCCCGAGCACAGGGTGCCAGCTTTCGTACTAAGGGGCGTCAGCTTCCCAAGCAAGGGGGGTTCGTTTTCCGAACAAGGAGAGTTCGCTTACCAGGCATGGCCTCCCTGACAAGGGGTGTTGGCATCTCCGATAATGGGTGTCAGCTCAGCTGGTGCGATGGGGCCACATGTTATGTTATTCCAGCGTTCATCTTACTTTCCTATCCTCGACAAGGAGCTCCGCCCGTTTCCACCAATGAGAAAGCTGACAGCCCCTTGTCTGCTCCACTCATTACTACTTGTCAATGTTGGCCCGGGGACCCTTCCGGACCCTTCAAGAGCGGAACAGTGTTAGGAACTAGGCGGCTCAATTTTTTGGGCTACAGTGGTCCAGTGGTGAAGCGTCATCGGACCTTTGAGAAGCCGGAAGAGGTGATAGGACAAAGGTCTCAAAACCTTCGGAAACTCGTGATTCTATAACATTGTTGAGGCCCCGGAACCACCCACCCACCAAACCTACACCCAACCACCCAACCACCAAACCCAGAATGTTTTCCGTACAACCCTAAATAGTCTGGAAGTAAAATTAGAGTCCCAACGCAAAGCTTCACACCACGTGACTGCGGTCTAGCTTGACGTTATCTATTCCTCCCTGGTGTGGAAACTACCAAACTGGGCCTTCATGCACAGAGGGACACATAGGTAGTTACACCAGACTCGACACATGTAACAAGTACAGGAATCCTAAAGGGAGAGAATCCTACAAAGATGTTGTGATGGAAACCTCACGAGATCTCAAGAAGCTTTTTAGGACTTATCATTACATAATGAGACCATACGTATGCTGCATGCATCCACCAAACTCATAGGGTCACGTTGATACTAGCTATGCAGTTCTTAGCATGCAGTGGCCCTTCTGAACAGAATTACCCTGTCACCTGCTGAACGTATGGGTACTTCCATGTGTCCTCCTTCGAACATGCTTCGTTCCTTGTCCACACAGCGGTCCAACTCCTTTTGTGCGTGCTCCAGCTGCCCCTTATCGGTGTGAATGGTCACCAGCGTAGCAAGTGCCATGGCTTCCAGCCGATCTCTGTCACCCACACCAAGACGTTGCAGTGGTGATGGCGCTTTCCCACTGCCATCCGATGCACCTGCATCATCAAGCTGTTGGACGATGGCCTGGCAAGATTCCTCAAGGAGGTGAAGCATTCCGAGCTCCTTTGCTAGGATGTTAACAGGCCCTGACAGGAGTTGTAGCTCGCCGGCCTTCTGCTGGACTGGGAAGGGCTGCGCTTCACAGCTGGCGTGCCCCTCCACATCTGGGCCATTGCTTTCAGCGGGTATTGCCGTGACAGGCACTGCTGCTGCACCTATCAGGCTCTGCATCAGGGGGCTTGGTAGTGGGGTTTTGTCACAGACCATGGAATTCAACAGCTGGAAGGACTTTAGAAGGTCTGGCCAATGCCTTGTACCCATGGACATGGCTAACTGTTCCTCGTTAGGCCGCTGGTACATGGCCGCCAGCTCAAGTAGCAACTGAACAGTCCGGACAGCAAAGCGCTCCTCTGCTTGAGCCAGCAGCAAGGGGTCGCCAAGCTGCGCCACTCGCAATTTAACCGAGGACTGCATTATGTATTGCTGGGGGCTCTGGAGCTGAATCAGACCGTACCCTTGTAGCACCTGCAGGAGCCTTTCGGCCTTGGGCTTGGTAATTCCAAGCACGTGGGTGGCAGTGGCAATATCAAAGGTTGAGGGGAACACGCTGAGCTGTGCAAGTGCCTGGAACTCCTCTCTTCGAAGCAACCTGCCCAGGACAACCTTCACGATAATGTCAATCTGGTCGCTGTCTGTGGCCTCCGTATGCTGCTGCAGCTGCTGCTCCTGTCCAAATGGGCTGGGCAGCTCCTGTCAAGTGTGCATGGCAACAACACACTGAGTATAGCCGTTATACGTACAGTTGGAATCCAAGAAGGGCACATACGCACCAGTTCCCCATCTGGACATTTAGCATGCCTAGTACACTCACTAGCCATCTCACAAATGGCCTTTTTGAAATCATCTTGAATATCTTGAGTACGTTTGGCATGATGTGTTACCTGAATTGAGAGTACTCCAGCTGCCAGTGCGTGAGTCACCAAGTTTAGAGCCAGGGGGTTGTTGTGACAGGCTGCAGCAACAGCATCCACCTCTTTATCGGCCACTGCCTGGTCAGCTAACTTCGTAATCTGAGATCTGGAAACAGCGGGGTTGAACCCTGTGACAAAGTACTCGTCAAGAGGAGCCAGCCGCTGCATGCTGGTGCCTCTGCTGCCTGGTGCGGCCACCTGGTGTATGCTGTCTTCACAGTTCAGGGAGGTGCATGATGTTATGAGGACCCTCACAGCACGAGCCTCATGCCTAACCTGCAAGGGAGTAAGTTTCAAGGGTGCATAAGGATGCAGGTAATGGCCTCTGCAAACATCACTGATACTGGTGTTTGTTTTAAGTTGAAAGTCCATGTGTTGGTCCCATTGGAATAAATTGAAGCCATAGCAGGCCATAGATTCAAGATGAGTAAATACAGAACTAACGCAGGGGCGGGGAACGGTTTGCCTCAACATCAGTGTTTTTTTAGCGATATATCGCTTTTCGAGCGATAAATAATTGGTCTAGGCTCCCCGGAAAAGCGATAAGCCCCTTGCAATGCCGTATTTTCATCGCGACGGTCCTTAAGGAAGACGCACAGCCCCTTTAGCAAGAAAAAAACTGAACTAAACATACAAATAACAAGCTTTATCGATGGACGGCAATAAGAAGTTAGTGCAGCCAGGCATTGGCAAGTTCATGACAGGACCATCGGCAGCAAAGTTCACTGTTGCGCAAATTCGGGGTCCTGGAAGGCCACCATTGGCAGAAACTCAGCCTTCGGTTGATACTGCGGCGGAAATTGTGGAGGAAATGGCCAAGGAGGGGCCGAGTCAGCCGGTCAATGATGGCGACAACGACGCGGCGCGACCTTCCGTTCGCACGGATCAGGCCTCCAACGTCGAGGAGATTGCAGCTACACCTCTAACGAAGAAGCAGCGCGGAGAAAATGGCCCAATTCCGGGCGAAGGACGGCACGTCAGAGTTCGGTGCCCTAGCGGACATCGTTTTCGTGATGGTGCCCGGCTCAGTTGAGGACGAGCGGCGGTTCTCAGCCATGAACTTCGTAAAGAACAAAGTCCGCAACCGGCTAGACCAGCACTTGCCGCAAGTGCTGCGCATGTTTTCGCAGCAGTTCTTCACCCTGCGCACGTTCCCCTACACGGCGGCGTTTGAGTCATGGCTGAATGCCTCTAAGCGGGGCCGTTACCTCATGCGCTAAGGGGGGGGGGGGTGCCAAGAGGCACATTCGTAACTGTACATAGCTGTATATAGTGCATTGGTGGTGAAGTGGACATACGAAGGAACGCGCAGCGCGCCCCGTGAAACGCATATAAAACGCATACAAGACAAGGAAAGGCGTGTGTTTGTGGGCTTGGCCTTTCCGTACTTTGGATTGCTGTCGTACTTATTATCGGGGGGGTCTGGGGGGCGTAGCCCCCCCAGCAAAATTTGTAAAGCGATAAACTGGCGTGAAGGCCCAACTTCTATCGCTCGCGGTGCGATGGAAAATTACCCCTCAAAAATGAAAAAAAACACTGCTCAACATGTACCAATGTTATGCCAAAATTCCAGAGTTCAGAGCCATCTTATAGATCTCGGTGAGAGCATTCCGAAACCGCTTTGAGAATTGTATTAGGCGTTTTACGGAGAACGTTATACTGGCACCGAAGCTAGTTGGCTGTACGGTACTGATGGGTAGGTGGGTCTGAACCCCCAATGCCATATTTCTTCGAAATGAAACTGTTGTCCATGCCTCGATTTCCGTACAATACGGAAAGCAATTTAATGCTCATGTTGTAGCAGCTGCATATTTCACTTAGTTTAAAGCCTTGCATGTAAAATATGCGGGTGGCAGTGTCCCCATTAGACCCTAGACGGCCCTACAATTGCAGGTCGACTGGGGTACATTATGAAGCTGATCGTGCATTTAGGCACTGTAACAATGCATGTAGGCGTTCACAAAGCATTGAGGGTGTGTCGGATGTCAACCGTAGAGCATTGGACTTAGCTGCTTGACTAGGCCCTCTCCAAGTGTGGCAAGCAACTCCAAAAACAAGCGAGCGCCCCACACATCCCACCAAACCGACCCCCAACGGCACACCCATCCAGACGGATGCTCCCCAACGCCCAGCAAATCGCCCATGTCCGTGTGTCCGTGTATCCGTCTGTCCGTCCGTCCGGTCCGCAACGGCAAAACATACAAACTAGGCAAGGCTAAAACGCATATATATTGCTATGTGTTCCCAAAAAAACATGCTATTTACGGTGCAATGGATGAAGTCCTTGTGAGCACGACGCCGACATTGCCAAAGCTGTCCTCCACATCTTGCTGAAGTAATGTAGGTGAAACCTAAACCACCTGCGTGATCGCGATAGCACTTCTCTGTGCCAGTTAGGCCGTTGATTTGGGCTCGATAGCCCACTGCGTGGGTGCTATGCAGCATAATGAGACGTTCCATGCATAGACTCGAATGAAACACCTTGAGACTGGAAATGGGTGCAATGGGTGAGAACACTTTGTACGGCATGGGTAAACAAGGCAGTCAGCCTCGACTGGGACTCTATCTTAGCTCGTCTAGCCAGGGGGTTTAGCGTTCTTGTAACAAGGTGTTAGGTGAACCGATGCCATGGAGTCACATGAGCGCATGCCGTGACATTCCAGTGATCGCAATACGTTCCTGTACTGAACAGGAGGTAGGGGTTCCGCCCTTTTCCAGCTTTGAGGAAGCATGCACACTGTTTGCCTTATCTGTCTGTTTCCTCGTTCGCCTTGCAGTTTAGTTAGGTTCAGCATAGTTAGGTTGCGGCGCTCACGTGTGTTCCTGCTTTTCTCCCGCCCTCGCATGTTCCTCTTCTTGCCGTCGGTTATTGACATTGGTTGCTGGTTGCCGGATGCTTTCGTTCCTGCCTGCAGGTCAGTCTACGGTAACATCCGCACATAGTGGTCTTGCACTTGCTTTGCCTGTTTTGTTTTGCTCGCGCATGCACTGCGACGTCTCGGCATGCTCCCCGTTTTGCTACCTGTTCAGCAGCAGTTCCAGCCTATCTACCTTCCTACTTTACTCGATATTGTCAGCTACTAAATACATATCAACTTACTACTACGGGCCTTCGGTCCGGTCGTTTTACGAGAGCGCTTCTTACGTCCTACATACTCTCAGCACCAGTATTGGACTTTTATATGTACATACGCTACCCTATTCCTCGGCTCCTGCGGCGGTTCTGTGGGGACTTCATCTTCCGACATCCCAGTACGTTCCTACTCGCGGCCAGTTTTCTTAACACGCCAGTGCATTGTAGTACGGCATCCCATGCACAATGTTTGCCATATCTGCCTGTTTCCTCGTTCGCCTTGCTTTTTAGTTAGGTTAGGCATAATTAGGTCGCGGCGCTCACTTCCTGCTTTTCTCCCGCCCTCGCATGTTCCTCGCTCTTCTTGCCGTCGGTTATTGACACTGGTTGCAGGCTGCTGAATGCTTTCGTTCCTGCCTGCAGGTCACTCTACGGTAACAAACGCACATAGTGGTCTTGCACTTGTTTTGCCTGTCTTGTATGTTTTGCTCGCTCACTGCGACGTCTCGGCATGCTCCCCTGCTTTGCCACCTGTTCAGCAACAGTTCCAGCCTACATACCTACATACTCCACTCGATACTGTCAGCTAATACATACATATCAACTTACTACTACGGGCCTTCAGTCCGGTCGCTTTACGAGAGCGCTTTTTACGTCCTACTTACTACCAGCAACGGTACGGGACTTGCTGTCAGCTAATACATACATATCAACATACTTCTACTTGCGCCACCATACACTTCGGCTCCTGTGGTGTTTTTGTGGGGATTTCACCTTCCGTCAATTATAGTACGTTCCGACTTTTTTTCAACATACGCCACCAGAAGCAACCACCAGAACCTATGTCTACCTTACACTGATAATGTCTGTGCACGGTACGATAAAATAACACACAGTGGTTGCGACAAAGCATCAGGGCGCCTGGATGCAACGGTGGCGGACATGCAACGGCGGACATGCAACGGCGGACATGCAAACCTAACGCTTAAGGGTCCATTCCGGCCGTGCGAGAAGCTATGTATTGACCCACGGCGCCGGATATAGACTCCGTAAACATGTTATAACTTATTTCCCCTGAAGGGGCTCGGTTCGTTCCGGCATGCACGTGTGGTGAGACTGCATGTGCTGCTCGGACGACTGAGGGGCTGTTTGACTGGTTCATGCAAACCTAACGCTTAAGGGTCCATTCCGGCCGTGCGAGAAGCTATGTATTGACCCACGGCGCCGGATATAGACTCCGTAAACATGCTATAACTTATTTCCCCTAAAGGGGCTCGGTTCGTTTCGGCATTCACGTGTGGTGAGACTGCATGTGCCACTCGGACGACTGAGGGGCTGTTTGGCTGGTGCATGCAAACCTAACGCTTAAGGGTCCATTCCAGCCGTGCGAGAAGCTATGTATTGACCCACCGCGCTGGATATAGACTCCGTAAACATGTTATAACTTATTTCCCCTAAACGGGCTAGGTTCATTTCGGCATGCATGTCTGGTGAGACTGCATGTGCTGCTCGGACGACTGAGGGGCTGTTTGGCTGGTGCATGCAAACCTAACGCTTAAGGGTCCATTCCAGCTGTGCGAGAAGCTATGTATTGACCCACGGCGCCGGATATAGACTCCGTAAACATGTTATAACTTATTTCCCCTAAAGGGGCTCGGTTCGTTTCGGCATGCACTTGTGGTGAGACTGCATCGGACCCTTAAGCGTTAGGTTTGCATGCACCAGCCAAACAGCCCCTCAGTCGTCCGAGCGGCACATGCAGTCTCACCACACGTGCATGCCGAAACGAACCTAGCCCGTTTAGGGGAAATAAGTTATAACATGTGTACGGAGTCTATATCCGGCGCCGTGGGTCAATACTTAGCTTCTCGCACGGCTGGAATGGACCCTTAAGCGTTAGGTTTGCATGCACCAGCCAAACAGCCCCTCAGGCGTCCGAGCGGCACATGCAGTCTCACCAAACGTGCATGCCGAAACGAACCGAGCCCCTTTAGGGGAAATAAGTTATAACATGTTTACGGAGTCTATATCCGGCGCCGTGGGTCAATACATAGCTTCTCACACGGCTGGAATGGACCCTAAAGCGTTAGGTTTGCATGCACCAGCCAAACAGCCCCTCAGTCGTCCGAGCGGCACATGCAGTCTCACCACACGTGCATGCCGAAACGAACCGAGCCCCTTCAGGGGAAATAAGTTATAGCAT